ATGGGAGGGCAGGCGTGAGCTCAGCGTCTCCCACAGGCCCGGCCCCGGGCCGGGCTGGCGGCCAGGGCAGGCTGGGCTGGCCTTGGGGGCTGGGCGGCTGCCAGCGGGCAGCACAGTGTGCTCTGCTCAGGCTGGCTGCCCGGGGCCTGGCTCGCCCTGGCCGGTGGCACGTCAGGACACGGCGGAGCGGGCAGCAGGCTCCTGGACCGGGAGCGGGGTCTAAATTAAGCCCTTCAGGCACCCAGCATAAACAGCTGAGACTGGAGGATCGCCAAGTGCCTTCCCCGGACCTTCCACCAGCGGGGGAGTCCGAGCACAGAACAGCCTTTACTCAGAGGCCCAGGTATTGGCAGCAAGGACGCCCTGTGCCGGCTCTGGCAGGAGGGGCCCCAGGGCAGCAACGCCCTCCCCCAGAGGGGTCAGCAGGTGGCCTCTGGCGGGGCTGGGCCTGAGAGACCAGAGGCTGCGGGAGGGCTGGCCGGGGCCCCCCAGGGGCCTGTCCCTGGGCAGCTGCCCGGCACCACAGTGCCGCTTCCCGGATGGCAGGGAAGGGCCGGACCCCAGGCTGAGGCCAGGCTGAGGGCAGAGACTCGCTGGCAGCAGGGCAGGACCCCGGCACGACAGCAGTGGGAGGCGCTCGCTGGGCAGCGGTCACCTCGGCAGGGTCAGGGTTGGGTCCCCCTCGCCACCCACCACGTGACACGAGGAAGGGCCCCTTCCCCCAGGCACTTCAGCACCATCAGCCCGGCTGTTTCTCACAGACGCTCCTGCCCCCCCACGCTCTGGGTGCGGATCGGAGCCGGAGCTGGGGGCGGGGGGGTCTGGACGGGCAGCACTGGTCCATTTCCGTGGTGTCGACTCCCCCCCTCGATCAGAACCCACACAGCGTTTCCACAACACGGGGCATGCGTGGTGCACCCATCACCCCGAAAGCACAGACAGACACTCTGCAGCAGGCACACTGCCTTTGGTTTTACAGGACTCATTTCCCCGTTGTGCCCGCCCTTCCATGCCAGCCGTTGTGGACCAGCCAGCTCACCAGTCCCCGCACCGTGAACGGCTGGCTCTCTTCCTGGGGCCGGTGGAGCCCACTGAGCACCCAGACCCCCCCCGCGCCTGGGCCCAGCCCACAGGGTCCTGGCGAGGCGGACGGCCCCACTGCTGGCGCCAGCCAACCCAGGGCACGCGCCGCCCTGCACCAGGCCTGGCTCTGGCGTTTCCTCGGGGCTTGGCAGCAAGAGCTGGTTTGGCATCAGGCTCTGATCCTCCACTCCCCACCGAGCAGCTTCCTGAACCGCCCGCCTGGCGGAGGTCCCTGCGGGGTGTCAGGTCCACTCCCAGCCCCCAGCCCCCAGCCCCCAGCCCCAGCCCCAGCCCCCAGCCCCAGCCCCAGGCCCCAGCCCCAGCCCCCAGCCCCCAGCCCCCAGCCCCAGCCCCAGCCCCAGCCCCCAGCCCCAGCCCCAGGCCCCAGGCCCCAGCCCCAGCCCCCAGCCCCCAGCCCCCAGCCCCCAGCCCCAGCCCCAGCCCCCAGCCCCCAGCCCCCAGCCCCCACTGGAATCTGGTTTCACAGGCGAGGGCTCTGCCCAGGGACCGTGGGCACCACTGTGCCTCCTGGACCCAGGATGCCCTTATTTTTCTGCTTTTGTTTGGGACTTCTTAAAAAATACTTTTATTGATTGGAGAGCGCGAATGAGAGAAACACTGATGAGAACCATTGATCGGCTGCCTCCTGTACGCACCACACGGGATCGAGCCCGCAACCTGGACATGTGCCTGGACTGGGCGTCGAACGGTGGCCTCCTGGTTCCTAGGTTGACGCTCAACCGCCGAGCCACGCTGGCCGAACTGCTTTTGTTTTGTTTTTATTGAAAACAATCTGTACAAAAACGCACACGGGCTTTACACGTACAGCTCCGTGACCTTTCCCGCTGACACGTTCAGACGAGCATCCCTCGTGGCAGACGCACAGCCAGCGCCGGGGGCCACCTCCAGCCCCCTCCTCCGCAGCGCCACCTGAGGCGAGGATCCTGGCCTCCCCCACCTGCCTCCTGGCCTCGACTTTCACAGACAGGGCTTGTGTTTTTGCTGGTGCTCGGTGCTCTCACGTCTGCTGTGCGCGCTGAGCAGCATCCCCCTGCCCGGATGGCGATGCCCCTGGGCTGTTTCCACTGGGCTCTGATCCTCCACTCCCCACCGAGGAAGAGGCGAGGGCGAATACCCGCACTGCGCGCCTGGCAGGTGTGCGCGTGGCCACGTCATCGGTGCCGTGCCAGCGTCAGTCACCACTTTCACCGCGACTGCGCCCACTCCACCAGCAGCGTCTGAAAGCTCAGCTGCTCCGCATGCCAACACGGCACTGGCCCCGTATGACCTCCGCCTTCCTGGCAGGCAGCAGGGCACCTCATGGCGGTTCACTTGTCCCTCCTGATGGCACCGCAGAGAGTGGGCTCTCAGATGCCATCGGCCTGTGAACACCGTGAAGCGCCTCTTCAGATAATCTGCTGGTCTAAACGCACTGCCTTTTCCTTGGAGATGCTTCTGGAATCCTTCGTGACTTGACTTTTACTCAGAGTAACTGACTTACAGCCCTGCGTGGCAGTGACGTCCCGTTTCCTGACGTCTGTCCTGTGGCCGGTGCTCTCTGCGCCCGGAGAACCCTGGCCAGGACCGCGTGTGGAGACTGCTTCGCTCTCCTAGTCTGGACCACGGCCCACGTGATGTTCATGTTTATGTACAAAGTGAGGCCAAAGCTCATTTTTCCCACTTGTACATCCCAGTGGTGAGCAAACATGCGGCTCTTTGGCCCCTTTAGTGTGGCTCTTCCACAAAATGCCGGGGCCTGGGCGAGTCTGTTTTAAAGTGGCGTTAGAAGAAGTTTAAGTGTAAAAGATTAGGCTCTCAAAAGAAATTTCAATCGTTGTGCTGTTGATATTTGGCTCTGTTGACCACTATCCCAAACTACTGTTCTTAATGGAGTTAAAAACGTCTTTTCAGATGACCGATGGGCCGTCTCCTTAGGACTGTGTAGTTCACCATCGCTGTTTAGTTTCTGCTGAGTAACGTTTAGGTTTTGTTTTTGTCCCTTCCTGCCACTTTTTAGGGGGAATAGGAAGACGGGTACAACCGGGAGGCGATAATGAAGTAACAACAGTCCTCACCCCAACCTGGGGGCTGGGCCCCCCGCCTTCTCTGCGAGGGCCCCACAGCTCACGTCTGAACCCACACAGCCCGCTAGGCCCATGAGCCACAGAGACAGGTGTCCTTTGCCGCGGTCACACGGTCCCCATGGCAACTCGCGGAGATTTCAGGAACAAACTTACTTTCCAGAATGGCTGAGGTGACTTGGTTTGGGGGTGCGGCCTGTTGGCCAATTGCCCATGACCCCTCCTCCCAGCCAGCCTAGCTCAGATCGGACCCAAATCAGGGCAGGCCTGCCAGCCAACCTCCCACCGTCTCCTCCTCCCAACAGGCCCAGCCCCGATCTGACCTGTTTGGGCTGGGGCGGCCGGAAACCAGAGTATGAATTTGTGCACTGGGCCTCTAATCTTATATAACAGAAGGCTAATATTCAAATTGTCCCAAGGGGTGGGAATTTGACTGACCAGGAGTTACACATGTGCTGACCACCAGTGGGTGGTGTGGAACTTTGGCAATGGGGCAGGCAGCCGTGGGAGGTCCCAGCTGGCAGCCACTAGGGACCCTACCTGTGCACGAATTTCGTGCATTAGGCCTCTAGTTCTTTCAATAGTTTTATTAAAGTTTAGTACAGATTAAACCGCCTAAACACACTTCCCGTTACTCTCGTGCGGGTGACAGTGGAGATGCTTTAGGTCCTGGTTCTGACAAGACCAGCTCGTCCGCTCCGTGTGCTTCTCAGGAGCCTGCCAGCAAGTATCCTCTGTGGGTGAGAGAATCTCCATCCTGTTCCCATTTCCCACCTGCCTCCTTTAACCCCCTTCTCCAGGAGGATCTGAAAAACCACCGAAAATAGGTTTGTTACTTCAGTTTTGTGGTGCGTGCTCACGGCCGTCTGCCTCCACTTTCTAGGCTGTGAAATACCTTGAAAACACAGTAATGTTTTGCATTGCGAGGCCATGATTTTACACTTACTTTGGGTAACCCACTATTTATAGCAGTGTAAGGTGTTAGGCAGGGACAAGAATCCAGACTCTTAGGAAGTCTTTGCTTTAAATTATACACTATTTTCTTTCAAATATATTTTATTGATTTTTTACAGAGAGGAAGGGAGAGGGACAGAGAGTTAGAAACATCGATGAGAGAGAATCATCAATCAGCTGCCTCTTGCACTCCCCCTACTGGGGATGTGCCCGCAACCAAGGTACATGCCCTTGACAGGAATTGAACCCGGGACCTTTCAGTCCGCAGGCCGACGCTCTATCCACTGAGCCAAACTGGTTTCGGCTGAATTATACACTATTTTCAACAAAAGGCCATCAGATGGAAAACACGATAACTGATTTTCTTCCATCGCCTCAGTGTCAGCGTCCACGGTCCTCGCAAAGGGAAGCCCACCGATTGGCCTCCAGTCCAAGAATCCACAGGCCTCAAGAAGAAATGGTCCTGAGGAGGGCACGTCACCACCCCTGGATGTACTCTCATGAATAAACTTCCTGTCACCTGTGTAAGCTTCCCATCATAAACTTAAATAGCCAATCTCAGGAGCCTTTATTTGGACTCTAAAAGGCCCCAAGACCTTGGTTAGGCCCCTCTCCTGATGAAATCCCTTTAAACAATGTGAGTGTAACAGCCTGGGGGGAAGTGCTGATCCCAGACCAGGGTGCATGCCCGGTTGTGGGCCCGATCCGAGTGCAGAAGGCGACACACTGGCGTTTCTCTCTCTCTCTTCCTCTCTCTCTAAAGTAAAAAACAAAAAAACAAAAACATATTCTAAAATGTCAGTGTAACACAGGTGTCTTGAGTTTTCAAGTAGAACGCTTCTCCAACATTGGTGAGAAGGAACGGACACGCACACAGTGGGCTGCCATTTAAAATACTCTTTATTGTGACACTCACAGATGTGTAAGGCATGTGCACAAGTCTGAAACTATGTACAACGCACGTCTCATTTCCCAGCTGCTTTATCCTCGGTACCTGCTGCTACACACTGGTCCCTGTGTACCTGCCTGCGGACAGTGCGCGGGCATTAGGAACATGTAGGCAAGGTGGCAGGAGAATCTTCTTCAAAATAGGCAGTAAGCATATACAGGCGCCACTGAGACATCGAACGCATGGAACAAGGCAGAGGAGGCACAGACTGGCTCAGGAACTTGGGACTGAGCTTCCAGGGTACAAAAAACACAGAAAAATATATTGCTCCTTCCTGTTTGAGAGAAATGGAATGTGTCCAGAATTTGTGGTTCTGTTTACCGTCGGTATGTCAGTACCGAGAACTAGTTTTTCCTGTTTCTACTGGAGTTAGCCAGGAGGCAGACGCTACTTCGCACAAACATGGAAGGATGGAGCAGGGACACCGTGGGTGGCCAGTTACCAAGAGGCTGTCTTAGGTGGTGGGACTGGGAAGGGATGGTGCTGTCTGCTCCCCACAATGCCGCTGCGAGCAGAGACCGGCACCTGGTCTAACCAGGAAGCAGGAAGAGGCCCAGGAGAAGAGGAGGAGCCACAAGGGCAGCGCCACCTGGGAGATGGGACTGTGAACACAGCCTCGATTTCAGTGGTAAAGAGGCTGATCCAAGAAAGTGGTTGATAATCAATTTTCAAAAGTCAGATGTTATCTTTAGAAGAGGACAAATAAGCACTTTACAAATCTACTTTTGGAAAAAGAAATAATTAACAATATAAAACACACAATGTTTCACATGAGATTCTAATCTTTTGGTCTAATTCAGCCAAAATTTCAACATTAAAGAAATATGACTAAAATTTGGTTTGCCTAAGCCCATTTTTAAAACGCAGAATCTTTGAGGAAGCTTGTTGGCGTGTTTCCAGGAACATGACTCCTGTTGGAATTCTCACCTGGGTGCCTGGACAGGTCACGCACAGAGGACGGCTCTGGGGTGTCATGCAGAGCCGTGGTCCCAGCGGCAGCCCAGCCGCGTGAGAATGTGGTCATGCCAATTCAGGCTGTTACTGAAGTGTTTAATCAGAGCGGGGAAATTACTATCAACTACACTGAAGATTTCCACTTACTAGCACTGTGACACAGTGCAAAGAATCTTCAAATGTTTGCCTTTTACATCAGAAGTGTATGTTGTTGTTCTTCCAATTCGACTAACCGCCAAGTTCCCGTGGGGGGGCCGTGGCTACCTGGGCAGCAGGCCTCTTCCGGAAGGTGTGTTACTCCTCTACCGACGGGAGGTGCGGCCGAGGCAGGCCGGGCAGGTGCTCTGGCATTTCAGATGCTGCTTCCAGCACTGGAGGGAGAAAGGAAGTCAGCAGTGCCAGGCTGAGCGCTTTGTGCTGCCCTCAGCAGGCAGCGCGAACTTCACCGCCAGGGCAGGGCCTGGCGCCCAGCACACAGGGCCGCTGTGGCTGCTCAGGTTGGGAGCGTGGCCCAAGCCCGAGGAAACGCCCGCTCCAGAACCTGCCCGTGAACTCTGGGTCTCCCCGACCCCAGCTCCAGCCCATGCGCTTCAGCAGCCCTGACCTCCAGAGCTGGCATTTCATGGCCCTTGGACTAACTCATCCAATTCCAGCGGGGTGTGTGTCAGGTCTGAGACCGAGGCTGGGCGCCAGGCTGCAAGCCTCCCAGGCCCCCAGTGGGAACCCTGCATTTACCCCCTCGCCGGGTTCGTAAGCCCACGTGGCAGAGCCCTGATCTCTTCTAAACCAGCACCCCAACACCAGCACAGCCCCCCACTAATCCCGGAGGGTGCAGGTCAGTCTGCCAGACTGGCACAGGGACCAGCCAGGGGAGTGTTTCTCCTCTGAAACGTTGCTCCCGCCTCGCGCTCTGCACTAAGCTGACCAGCATGAGTCTGGTTCATGTGCAAGAGACCGCCGAGCCCAATGTCCGCACCTGCCTGGCCCAGGGAGCCTGTGTGCCGGCTCGGAGTGAGGGGCGGACGGGCAGCTCAGGGCACACCGCCGGGGCCCAGGAGCCTGTCCCCTCCCACAGCACCAGACTGGAAACAGACACAGTGATGCTGCACAGGTATGGGAAGTCTCTGGAAACACAGGAAGTACAGAAACCCAGGGAGAAAACCCATTTGTTTCCCAAATACTTCCTAGTCTAGATGCCCGCTCTGAGGGTGACACTTACCCCCTTGTGAAACTTGTGCCCACAGCTCAGCACAAGCACGTTTTTGGACTTGAACACCTCATGGCAGAGCTCACAGGACTGTGCACCCAGTGTCTGTGGAAACCAAAGTGGACGAATAACAAGTCACTAAGTTCCTTTCACTGCTGCCACTAAATTGGCAAATTATTCCTACAGTTAGCTGAGCCCACTGATAAAACAACTTGTTTTTATTTAAAAAAATTATTTACTGCCCAGCCAGTGTTGCTCAGTGGTTAAGCATTGACCTGTGAACCAGAAGGTCAATGCCCAATTACTAGTCAGGGCACATGCCTGGTTGTGGGCTCAACCCCCAGTGTGGGGCCTGCAGGAGGCAGTTGATCCATGATTCTCTCTCATCACTGATGTTTCTCTCCCTCCCTCTCCTTTCTCTATGAAATCAATAAAAAATATATTAAAAATATTTATTTATTCTCATTTTTTAAAAATTAAATTTATTGGGGTGATACTGGTAAACATGAACATATAAATTTCAGGTTTAGGTAAAACACTTATTTTTAAATAGCATTTTTTAGGAAAAAAATATAAATGTACAAAAAGAATACTTTTAAAATTCTAATTTTCTCAGAGGAAAAAATGTTTTCTATGGTTAACAAATTTTCTGCTAAGTTTGGAACCAGCTGAATATCACAAATTAATCATGCATCTAATTCCCTAACCCTTAGCGACTGGCCGAGTAAATCTTAACGGAAATCCATAATCCCTGTCATAAAAGCTGGTCACAAAGCCCTCTGAGTAGAAGCAGGCACAGAACAGTAAGCCTCAAATGACCATCAACTTATTTAAAACAGCAGCAGCAACAGAGAATGTGGGTGCAGAGCTGCCTAGAAAAGCCTGCAAAGATGTGAAATGGTAACAGCGACTCCTTCTGGTTCAGAGAGTGTTAGTTTTTCTCTGCTAGTTTCTGAAGTTTCTCTGAATGTGGATTATTTGTACAAATCAAATCAAAACGGACGACTCACTCGGCACATACGTGCCGTCGAAAAAGCAGAGAAGGGCCCTGCCATTCACTGCCGGTTCTGCAGGACCATGAATTTGGTCTAGAATAAGAAGGCTGGGGCTACCCCAATGCTCCCAAGGCCTCACACGCGCTCACAGACAGGAAAACAGCTGTCACACATGCTGCACTCACAGGGGCACCTCCTGTCCTCTGGCGGGCTTTGGGCGAAGGTCCAGCTATCACGGTGGGCAGGCCCCGGGAGGCCCCAGGCCCCGAGGCAGCGGAACTGTCTTGTCCCGGACTTGGCTGCAGAGATAATGGGGTGGGGAAGAAGGTTGGGTACCCAAAAGCTTGGCCCCCTTGTCGCCAGGAACCTGCTCAGCACCTTTGGTGGGAAGCCTGCTTGGGTTTACAAGCCTCACAGGGACACCCAGAAGGACACGGGCCTCACCTGTGTCTGGGTGGACACTGACCTGCTGGCTTTGCTGTGTCCCTAGAACGTGTGTCTTCACTCTCTGGACGATTTCATCAACGCTCAGTCCTGACAGCGAGGTCTTGCTTTTGCTTCGCACTTTTCTAATGAAACCAGCAAGCTCGGTGCTGAAGGAGAAAGTGAAAAGAAATGAGAGCAGAAAGTCTGTTTTCTACTGCTGAAAAAGTATTAGGCCTGGACCGGTTTGGCTCAGTGGATAGAGCGCTGGCCTGCAGAATGAAAGGTCCCGGGTTCGATTCCTGTCAAGGGCATGTACCTTGGTTGCGGGCATATCCCCAGTAGGGGCTGTGCAAGAGGCAGCTGATCGATGATTCTCTCTCTTCGATGTTTCTAACTCTCTATCCCTCTCTCTTCCTTTCTGTGAAAAATCAATAAAATATATTTAAAAAAAAAAAAAAGTATTAGCTGCCAGTATCAACCCACAGCCAAGAGAAACAAATACACCCAGACAAAAGGAACAGGCAGACAATAGCAATTGTATATAAACTAGCAGGATCAGCCTATCCAAGCGGCAGTGAAAATCCCAGCGTTGTGTCTAAAGACTCACTGCAATCGGTGTCACACAGCAGTTTATCTGCGGGGTCAGGGAGGAGAGCCATCCCTCGGCAGACACCGGGCTCAGGCACCCGCTGAGGCAGCACCACTAATGACCAGGCACCATTGGTCTGACCCAACACAAAACCTCTACCTAGGAGGAAACCAGCTTGGCTGACATCCTCCCTTAACAATCTAACCCACCACATGGTTTGCACAGCCTGTTTCACAAGCACCAGTGGATGTAGATGGATGTAAATAATTGATTTGATATTATACCACGAATAGCACAAATGTTTGAACTTTCAGAAAATTGATGCTTTTCTGTTTGATTATTTAACTTTGCCAAATTTAGCCAGGATTGCAAACAATCTTATTTGTAAGGTACTGTTAGTAGTTTCAACTTGAATGTTCTTATAATTGACGGGGTTATGGCTCTTGAGAGAATCTACCATGCTTCTCACACTGGGGCCACGGGATAGACACCCCGTGCAGACCGAACACTCAGTTCTCGAGGGCAGGCTTGTCTGTCTCTGTAGATGCAAAATATCCATTCTGGCCAGTCACAGTTCGAGGACTATTTGTTTCAAAATCAAAAAATCAGAGACTCCAACTGATGGCGTATCCAAGGCAGAAATAACATGGGGGTGCAGAGGTGTGAGGTTGAGAGAATGGTGTGATCCACTGGTGAACCAGGGGTATGGCAGGTTCCATAGGGCCGTCCTGGGAGGGGAGTCCTCTCCTCCCGGCTGTATTCTGGAGACACTCCTGTACCTCATCTGAGACAAGGGGTGCCTCCATCTCCTCGTACCAACCTGGAGGGCAAGGCAAGGTCCGGAGAAGCCCTGCTGACGTGTGGACTGGGAGCTCAGGTGAAAGAGCACTCGGATTCCCTATGGAACCTGCCATACCCCTGGTTCACCAGTGGATCACACCATTCTCTCAACCTCACACCTGAGGGTCACAGGAGCTGCAGCCTCCTCCTTTTATGGGCCTTGTTTTCCAGAACCACATGAAGCCAGTGATCTGCACTTCACCCAGGGACTGCCTAACTAGTGCTGCATAACTAGACAACTCCCTAACCAGGGGACTCTGTAATTAGTGCTACATCACTAGGCAACTCCCTAACTAGGCAACTCCCTAACTAGTGCCGCGCATGTCACTGACCTCATCAGCATCGTAGGAAAGGGCTGGTGCTCAGAGGTATCGCTAGACACGCACAGTAAAGTGTATTTGAAATGCACACCTCTATGCTTAAAAAGAAAAGGCAGCACCCGTCTTTCTGAATAAAACAAGGGTGCGATCCTTCCACGTCAGCCCCTACCTGACCCAACGTACCGGCTCCGGAAGCCTGTTCAGTGACAACATTGCGCAGCCAGCCTCTGACCCCGTACCTGCTGTAACCGGGCAGGACCGCCGCCAGGTGCTCGATGATGCTGTTGAACGGCTTCTTTGGAGACGGGCTAGGACGGGCGGCTCGTCCCTGAGCAGCAGGCGGCTTCTGATCAGACGGGAGGCTGTGTTTTGGCCGAGCTGCCGGGCCTGCGCTCTCACACTCCTGCTGAGCGGAGGGTGATGCTGGCAGGGGTGGCGAGGGAGCCCCCACTGGGCGATCACCGTCAGAGACCAGGCTTGGATCCCTGGGAACCGCTGTGGGACTTGCAGACGTCGAGGGACCCTGATCATCGTGGCCTGGAGACTCAGGAGGTGACTTGGGGCAAATCTGTAAGGGACACAGCACAGTGGGACTGAGAGAAACAGCCATGGCCAAGACTGATAATTAAGCATGACTATGGAAACAATCAGAATACAATTAAATGTTTGTTTTTAATTACTTATCGAAACATGTCTGTTGGCTGTGAGAAAGGGCTGGACTCTGACTTCTCAGTAGTTACTCCCTCTAGAATTCCTTCTCTCTGTGAAGTCTGCAACACCGCTGAGGAAGGACACACACCCACCTGCCTCCTTCCCCTCACAGGACCCCCTCCCTTCCCAGCTGCACGTGGAGAGGAACCAAACAGCTGCTCCAACACTCCCCCAAACTGCCCTTGCCAAGGCCCCCAACATCTCCACTGAGACCCTGGGGCACCGATGCCGCGGCCACTCTCGTGTTCTGCATGCTCTGCCTGCCACCGCCTCCCTTCCCAGTCCCTGCAGCCTGGCCACGCCGAGTGCTGAAGCTCCTCCTGTCCCCGAGGCTGACCTCTCCTCACGGCCCCCTCCCCAGGCCATCTTATCCTCTCCTGCCTCGGTGACTGCACGCTTGCTGCAGCAAGTGCCCCTCGTTAAAGATTGCGGTCTTAGAATGTTTTCCCAGCCTCCATATGCCACCCACGCCCTCACAGCCCACCCCGGCCTCCTGCTAACTATCCCGGGTCTCACACTCACTCTCCCGAGGCAGCTCCCTGCGGCCTGGCCTCCTCCTGCTCAGTGCCCTCACTGACACGCTGCACCCTCCAGGAGGGGTGGGAGACCTGCGCACGCAATTGTAACTACTGTCTCTTTCCCAAGCCCACAGGCCTCTGAGGGCAGACCACATCCGATCTTGGTTCCACTAATGCCCAATGGATGAAGGGCGGTGACAGAGGAGGTGGGTTAGGGACCCTTACTGTGAAAGCTCCTGGCACACTGAGAGCTCCCAGGTTCTGAGTGTGAAATTAGTTTGAGTATTTATAAAACCACATGAGCTAGAGTTAAACATTAATAGTAAAATATTCTACTGAGATCTAACTCTTGCCCTTCCATATCTGCTATAAGAACTTGGAAAACTGTAAATGATAAGTATCTTTAATTCTACATAAAACTATTTCTTATTCCTTTATTGGAGAGAAAAACTTATGCTGTGGAGACAAAACTTTGGATCTCAACAGAACGTTTTCCTCAGTTCAGGAGGCTAAGTGTTTTCTGCGAGATGAATGCACTGTCTGAATGCTTAGCGTGTTCTGATGGGAAAAAGCTCCTGCAGGGAGCTGTCACCGAGTGAAGGAGAGGAACGCACCTGACAGAGTGTCCGGGCGGGCAGAGGCAGCCTGACCGGGCCCAGGGGAAGGCAGGACGCAGAGGGAGGAGGAGCTCTGGATGGGGCAGAGCTAGGCAGTAGCAGGAAGGTGAGAATCAAGTGCTGGGGAAATGGTGGCCTTAAAGACCAGGTCAGAACCAGGAGATTTCAATATTGTGGCAAAACATTCTGAAATCTCTCTCTGATCAACTTTTCTTTTTTTTTTTTAATCCTCACCGGAGGATATTTTTCCATTGATTTTTAGAGTGGGAGGGAGGGGGAGAGAGACACAGAGAGAAACATCAAAGTGAGAGAGACACATTGACTGGTTGCCTCCAGCACATGCCCCAACCAGTGTCAGGAAATGAGCCTACAAACAGGTACGTGCCCTTGATCTGTATCGAACCTGGGACTCTTCAGAACATGGGCTGACACTTGGTCTAATGAGACAAACTGATTAGGGCTTGTTTTTCTTTTTTATTTGAGAGAGAGAAAGGGATGGGAAAGGAAACGGGGAGAGGAAAAGGAAAAAGGAGGAAGAGGGAGCAGAAGAGAGCGACATCGTTTTGTTCCACTTATTCACTGGTGGTTCCTATCTGTGCCCTGACCAGGGCTGAGCCCGAAACTTCAGCGTCAGGATGACGCGCTCTGCACTGAGTACCCGCCAGGGCTCCAGGAAACTCTCCAATGGAGTCCTTGAACTTCTTGTGATCCGGGCTTCCTAGGACTGAGTTCATTTCAGTGGAGTATTTACTGAGCATCTGCTGTGTCCAAATAAGAAACACCTATGCCAGAATAAAGCGGAACTGGGTGTAGCCACGTGCTAAAGTCCACAAGTGAAGGTAATGCTCTTTGTGACTGTGCGTCTTTAAAACAAGATGAGGCTTGGCAATCACTGTTACTCAGAAGGTTCAGCACATTCCTCACTCAAACCAGAAGCACAATGTGAGATGCCAGACCACAAAGCCCATGTGTCTCCCAGATGGCAGTTTCCATCTGTATTTCTCAAGAAAACAAATCTTAACTTTCAGATTGTGGTCTCTTGCCTCATAAATTACACCTGAATCACAGGCACCTGCTACACCTGGAATACTTGTTTAAGTGCAAGGACACACACACACACACACACACACACCTCAACATCTGGAAAAGGGAGGGGAGGTGTAGCAGCAGTGTGTTCACCACCTCAGGTCCCTCCTCAGACCCGGATGTGGAGAGGAAGTCTTCTATTTATATAAGAATGTTTACTGTAACGCCAAAGGTTAACCACCGCACCATTAATGAAAACATGAGGGCAACTATTCATCCATCCCACCCCCACTCTCAGCCAACAGCAGCAGCCAACTGCTTTGCCAGTTAAGAAAGATACTGGCTTATTATGCTTTGTTTTCTTCCCTTCAAACAGAAGAGGACAGACTTACTGCGCCCCATGCGGGAAACGGATGCTCGGATATCTGCACTGGAGAAAGCTCACTGAGCCGAGAGCCAGCTTTAATGGCCTTAATTTGTTCTTCAAACTGAGACTGTAGGTAGGAGAAAAGGGTCAAGTTTCCTAACAAATTCCAAGGGAAAACCACAATCGTCAATGCATGCTCTTTTCCTTACAATACATTAAACATGGCCAACGATCTTCCAAGAAACATGAATGAAATGAGGGTATTACGACAACTGTTTCCTGAAGGACAGAAGTGCCGAGTAAGACCTCACTGACAGACACTCTCCAGCCTCATCAACATGCTGCTCTCACTCAGCATCCAGGGCGGAGCTGGACAGTTAAGAAATATCATTATTTTCATGAAAAAGTCTTCTTAAAATTTCAACAAAAAATAGAACAGCTCAAAAAAGGAATGGTTTCCATCTGACTCTAGCCACTTGGGAATTATAACCATCATACAGATTTTGACAGAATTATAAAATGTTTTACAACTTACCTCTGTTTTCTCAATTTCTTCTCTAACATCAGAAAGAAATGATTCCCATGAATCCATGTCAGACTCTAGTTCAGGATATGCTGCAGGATCACTGAAAAAGGAGAAAAACATGAAACTGTTAATGTCCACTTTAATATTTTTAAAAATGGAAAGCACTAAAGTACAAATGAAAATAAACATTTAAACATGAAAGATATATTTCATATGATCACACCCCAAAAAATGACTATATTTTTGCCTGACTGGTGTGGCTTGGTAGTTGATCACTGATCCATGAACCAGGAGGTCAAGGTTAGATTCCCAGCCAGGGCATATGCATGGGTTTCAGGCTCAATCCCCTGGAGGTGTGCAGGAAGCAGCCAATCAGTGATTTTCTCTCATCACTGATGTTTCTCTCTCTCCCTTCTTCTCTGAAATTGATAAAAAATGTGCTATATAATAAAAGCCTAATATGCTAAGTATCCAGGTGTCTGTTCAACCAATCAAAGTGTAATATGCTAATGATGCTTAACTGCTCGCTATAATGTGCACTGACTACCTGGTGTACTGACTACCTGGGGGCAGATGCTCCGATTGGTAGGTTAGCTTGCTGCTGGGGTCCAGCCAATCAGGACTGAATGAGGTAGGCCAGACTTGCCCTGGAGCCCTCCTGCGGTGTTTCCCTGGCTGGCCAACTTCCTGCGTCCTTTCCCAGCCCCAATGGTGCATCTGTGAGGTCCCTCAGCCTGGCTTGCGCACTCATGCAATCCCAGACACTTCAGAGGATGTTGGAGAGCTGGTTTTGGCCCGATCCCGCAGGCCAGGCCAAGGGACCCCACTGGTGCACAAATTTGTGCACTGGGCCTCTAGTATTAAGATAAGTAAATAAATAAAATGGTTCTGCCTAATGTAAGATTTTTTTCCTCACCTGTAGCTTTCATTTGCTAAATGACAGGCTGGGAAATATACCCATATGTCTACAGTACCTTTGCAATTGGCTCAGGGTCTTCAGATACCCTTCAGCTTGTGATTCCACGATCTGTAACTTATACACTTCCATCTCTTTCTGGTTTTCAAGCACAGATATCTACCATGAGATGAGAGAACGTTTAAGTATTTTAAAACTGAAAATAACTATTTGAACTTGTTAAAACTTAAACATGCTAAGCCAGAACTTGTTTATGTTGTAATGTCACTCAGGTGACTATGAAATAAAGCTTTTGGATCTGAAACTAGAATAACAAAATGTCAGTAAAATAATATACCTTAAATGCCACTTTTCTCAGAGACGACACACCCACGTGGCTTACTGCTACAGCACAGAGCCAGGCTGCCTGTGAGCATGCCCTGGTGGGCGTTCCCTGTGTCTGTCTGCTCCGGGCGAGCACCCACCACTGCCCCCTGTCCGACTCGGGCCGCAGAGATGCCGTGCTCAACCTCACAGGCGTCGGAAGCCCTGGTGCATGCTTTCAAAGCAGTGGACTCTTGGCTTCCCCACAAGCCAGCCAGTGGTTTCTGTGGGTCACTGCAGGAAGCGTACAACTGCCTGCTTCAGCTCTGGTGTCAGCACTTTGCCAGGACCCACTGGCAAAAAGGCTTGCCAGGTGGTGGTGAGAACGGACAGCTGGGGAAGTGGGCAGTCGCGCGGGCGCGGCAGACCGCAGGTGCTCGGCTTTTCCTTCCCTCTTTTCCTTAGCAGCAGCTACAGTCGATATTTAACTGAAAGACTCATGTTTGCAGATTGCACAAGCTAAGCCTTTTTTTTATTTTCCCAGGATAATTACAGACACACATACTCATAAACAACATTAACTTCTTAATTAGTTTCAGAACTAAATGAAGTGCAGCCAGGAGTCATCACTTTTATTTTTTGCCTCACTACTTTCTCAAACAATATCCTTACCCTGGTATCTATCTTTCTGGGGGGAGGGCGAGGGCAAGGATATTCTTGTAAATGGATGATTTTCAAATTCCTTTTCTAGTATTGGCGAACGTGCTTATGGCCGACTCTTGACTAGTATAACGAAGCCATACAAAGTGGAGAGCATATAGAATGGCTGAGCTATCATGTTAAGTAAGGAAAGCAGGTTACAGAATCTGGTGCACACTGAGCACAGCTGAGTGACACTTATAGCGTCAGGGCCAGCAATGAAGAAGCTGCAGGCGAGGAGAGCGGCTGCTCCAGAGACAGGACACCGGCCTCTGCTCCCGGCAAGGCTGTTGTGCTGCAGCTGCTGTCAGCACAGAGCAGACCAGGCCTGCCGCCTGTATGCCAGGACCCCTCTCCTGCCCCTACCCTCCGCCGCCCACGCCTGGCTCACCTCTGCAGCCACAGCTCTTTGAAGAATCTCTTCATATTGCTCCTTCCCTCTCCTTATTTGCTCTTCTATTTTCGTTTTCTCATTTGTAAAAGTATTACTACAAACAGTAAAGGAGAAACACCTTTTGAAAAAAAAAATCTTACCGCTGAGATCACAAAGGCTAAAGCTAGGGTAACTCTGAGATGATGCCACGAAAAGACATACATCTTTCAGAGTAACTTTTTGCCTAGTATTTTACTACGTAATACAGACTCACACATGCTCTTTGCACTTGACAAATGATCAGAGGAAGATATGAAATTGAAAGTGAGGAACTGGTGGGAAACTGGTTTACCATTTTTATGAGCACACCTGGCGTTATAAGCAGTTATATTAATAAACTTTATAGGATATCCGTCATCCTTTGAGTCAGAATTTCTATGTTGACACAAATTATTAAATAACCAAAGGCAAAAATGATCTATAGAAAATTGTTCATGGCAATATATTTGTAACAGCTAAAATAAGGCAGGCATGGACCATAATGTGAATGGAAATTTGTATATGAAATAATATATGAAAAAAGCAAAATATAACTGCTTACTACTGAATAGACTGGTAACCAATATGTGAAAATGTTATTTCCATTTAATAAAGATTAAAAGGAAACTTTTTATAGGTTCATACTGAAAATCCTTCAATGAACCTATAATCAGAGCAACAAACTACCATAACGTAGTTGAGACTGGTATTTCAAGTAACACAGAAGAAAAGTTTTTAAAATACAGTTTCCAGTTAACTCAAGGGAAAAGAGGTGTAATGATCAACTATAAATTCAGATTTCTTAACTGACAGTGTGAAATAATATGTTAGTAACATAACATAACATAAAAAATACTTAAAGAATAAATTTATTTGGCAGCTGGCAGGTGCTGATTTGAGAAATGAAGTTTCTGAAAGGGTTATCGTCTAGAGCTGCACTGTCCGAAAGGGGAGCCTCTAGCCACAGAGGGCTCTGAGCACTTGAAATGTGGCCAGTCCAAACGGGGTGGTATGCTCCATGCAAAACACAAGCTGAATTTCAAGGACTTAGTATGGGAAAAAAAAAAAAAAGAATGTAAAATACCTTAATAACAAATTTTGTATTGATTACATGTTAAAATAATATTTTGGATTGTTGTGTTAAATAAAATGTATTTCTTTAAAAAAATAAATTTATTTAAATATTAAATAAAATAGAAAATAAAAACAGAAACAATCATTTAAAGGACAGACAAGCAACAATATGTTTAGATGTCCAGTGTGCTTGGCCTCTGCTATTAAAAGTATAATAAGACATACAAATAAATTTAAACTTAATTTGCCTGGTTTCAGAAGACTGATCCAGAAGGAATTCGTGTTCCTTTTCCTGTCCATCATTTTTCTGGGTGTACCTATGAAAGCATAATCACCAAATTTTGATTCCTTTTTCAAGATTTTTTTTTTTTTTACAAACCTGATTTAAATTCAAACACAGCCATGCAAAAATTCTTGAATTCCTTATAAGTTTTTACACTTTGTTTCATTTCTAGTATCTTCAAAACAAGCAAAGAATTTGGGTCATTTTCCTTTTTGGAAGCTTTCCTTGTATACTTGGAGGGCAGATCATGGATTTCAGCCATTTTATTTGATCACTAAGTCATATGCCTGTCGCATATGTCTTTCTATCTCAGTCCACTTCAAGGAGCACCTCTGGGACGTTTAAGACAGGAGTACAGTCTGACCACTGGTTCTCATTCAAAATGCAAATGGCCTCTCTTCTTCTTCTTCTTTTTTTTTTTTTTTTTAGGATTTTTAAAAATTGATTCTTACTTTTATTACTTATTTAAAATATATACTTTTATTTATTTCAGAGAGGAAGGAAAAGGAAGATAGGGATAGAAACATCAATGATGACAATCATTGATAGGCTGCCTCCTGCACACCCCACACTGGGGATCAAGCCTGCAACCTGGGCATGTTCCCTAATCAGGAATTGGACTGTGACCACTTGGTTCATTGATCAATGTTCAATCACCGAGCCACACCAACTGGGCTGTTTGTTGTTGTTTTTTTACATTTTTCGGTGGCTGTTTTTATTGAGTCACAAAGAGAAAGACAGGAAGGGGATGGGTCGGGGGGGGGGGGCGAGAGGGAGGAAGAGGAGGAGAGACGGAGAGAGAGAGGGGTGGTGGAGGGGGAAGAGAGAGAGAGAGAGAGAGAAATACTGGTTAGTTGTTTTCCGTAGTGCCCTGACTGGGAATTGAACCCGTAACTTAAGTATGTGCATTGACTGGGAATCAAACTAGTTACCTTTTGGTGTATGGGACATCGCTCCAACCAACTGAACTACTTGACCAGGGCCAGCCTCTGCTCTTTAAAATAGAACTTAAGCCCTAGCTGGTTTGGCTCAGTGAATAGAACATCAGTGTCTGAACTGAAGGGTCCCAGGTTTAATTCCAGTCACGGGCATATGCCTGGAATGTGGACTTGATTCTCAGTAGAGGGAGTACAAGAGGCAGCAGATCAATGATTCTCTCCCATCATTGATGTTTCTATCTCCCTATTCCTCTCACTTCCTCTCTGAAATCAATAATACACATATTATTTTAAAAAATAAAACTTAAAGTCTAACACACATGCACACACCCTCATGTGTGTACTGACAACCCTTCCAAACAAAGTGCCAATGTGACTCCTAAGCAACGCCCGGAGGAAAGGAGTCTCCCTCTTCATGCTCCCGACACACCTTCTCGGTCATCTCTACTGGCGGAACACCCCGCGTTTCCACTAAGAACCAGCTCCGATGCCATTCCCTCTTGTGCGGACACCTTCCTCTAAGCACTCCATTGTGACTTGTTCTTTCATGGAACATGCGTCATTTCCATAGATGCCACTGGTCTGTCCCATTGCACCAGGCAGGAGCTCCCTATGCCCCAGCCACTTTTAATACTAAGTGTGATCTAAAGTGTAGAAAAATCACATCGTTGTTCATATCCTTTGAGCTTCTTTAGGAGATCTAATAGTTTTAAGATTTTGCTTTAAAAACTAAATATAAAGTATTTACTTGGAAAGTGTAAAAAGCACAAGAAGCCTATCTTTAAAGCCTATCTGTATCTTTAAACAATGACCAAAAGAGGCAAAGAAATACATATATTAATTAAGTGTGTGTATGAGGGGTATTGAGGGGGGACCAGTAAAAAGTTTATTCCCCAGCAGAAATGGTTAATTTTTATGCTAGCAGAGAAAAAATATTTTCCTATCAACAGATTCATTTATTTTTGTTTAATTAGATAGACTGTCTAAATTGAGCATGTTCAACATAAATATTTCTCAATTTCTGGATAACAATGATTAAGACTAGACCTGCTCAAATATGAAGAGGAAAAGAGCTGTACAAACATTATCTCTTCTGCAAACGTGTTCCCTGGAGCTACTTGGACGTGACAGAGGCAGTGTTTTATGTTTCACCATTCTTTTAAGGGCTGCCTAGAAACTGCCCAGATGTGACTAGCAAGACATAATGAAAGCCATCTGACAACATGGCACGGCAAATGGAAAATGCATAAATGCCCTGAAAGATGAGTGTGGTGGTGTGGCCCCTGGTGACCGGCCCCCACTGGGCAGCTCTTGGCTCCGGACGAGGCCCCCCTGAAACTGGAGAATGTGGTGGAAGGAAGCCTGACAGCTCTGGCGCGGACCTGCAGGGCCTGGCAGCTCCTGCTTCTGCACTCTTGGAAGCTCCCAGGGCCACACAGGAGCCTGGCTGCCACGCTGGAGACCAGATGGAGAGAGTGTGTAGATAGAAGTCACAGGGAGGCCGCAGGGAGAGGGAGAGAACCAGACACCAGCATCCCGGTGGAGCCCATCCCAGCGATGTGGGTTCACATCAGCTGAAGTAGCTGCTAATTTAGGCCACAGAGTTTTGGGTGTTTTGTTACACAGGAGGTAACAAGCTAAGTGAATCGTAGGACATATCACTGTTTAAGGAAGTGAGGGAAGAATCAGTCATGGAGAATCTTAGCACCAGTTTGGCCCAGCAGATAAGTGTAAGGCCTGTATGTATTTCCAAATCCTCACACTGCAGGACGGAACTTAATGCTTTCAGGATTCAGGGTGAAAGTAATCATAAATAAAATAATCACCACAGAATCTTAGTGCTGAAAAGAAGCTTAAGATCTAGACTAGTCCGCTTATTTCAGATGCAATGTGTGTGTGTGTCAAAGGTCATGGCCACAGCAGAGGGAATGCTCAGACTAGAAGGATGCCTCTCTTTAATTCAGTCTCACTTTATCTGCAAACATGGCAGGTTTAGAAAACGTTTCAGGTGACATATTTCAACAACAGATGTTTTTAAAATTAGAGGAAACAGTATTTACAATTTTCACTTCACTTGATTTAGTTTGAAAGGGAATATCAAAATGTTACAGTATCAACAACTCCCTCCCCAATAAACAAACAACAGAAATCATTGCACTGAGCCTAACTTACGTTTCAGTGGCATCTGAAACCCTTTTCATTTCCTTCTTTAGTGCTGTTAGTCTCTCTTGTATTTGTTTTTTCTCCTGTTGCCATTTTTTAATTTCCTTTTGCAAATCTTCGAGGAACCAATCTAATTCTGTCTTTGAGATCTAAAACGATTTTAGAAAGATTTACTTCACCAAACAAAGGAGCCTGAGAGATCAGAACTGTGCTGGCAATGCCCCAGGGCTGACTCGGGTTCAGCAGGACCATCACAGCTGGCTGTGCTCTGGGCTGAGCCAGGGCTACCACGTGACCCAGTATGTGGCCTCAGCCCCCGCAGCCCTCCTCTGCCCTCAGGGCACCAGACAGGGGCGAGACTGTCAGGTAACACCGAGAACAGACCATGGTGCTCAGAAAGGGCTTCTCAGAACCAGTGCTATCTGCTCTCGGACTCCCACATGAGCCCGCCGCTCGGAGCACGACTCCCGCAGAAGAGTACGGCCACGGCACATCTGCACAAAAGCAAGAGGACGTACGGAAGGCAGGGCAGGGAGAAATGGCTTCAGTGTCAAACTGGTTACAAGGTCTCAAGTATAAGGGGGCAAGTTCCTAGACCATGGGATTCTGTTCGACTACAGAGTCTTAGCTGGTTCTGGAAGCAGAGACCTGTGGTGCAGGAAGATAAGGAGGAAATCGGAGTATTTCCTCTGAGACAGCTGTGAAAAGATTCGTGTCTGTCACCAGCAGCCTCCTGACCCTGCCAGCATTTGGTTTTCAATGGCTCAGGGAGGCAGACTGCCCAGTCCGAGTGCAGTGGTGGGGCTGGGCCCAGCGGCCTGCAGGTGCACAGCCAACTGTTCCTGGGCAGCAGAGGCTCAGTGACAGTCCAATGCCCTCCACTCAGCAGGAGATGCTCTCCTCGCATTTCCCTTGCTGCAACCTTGCTGACCCTGGATTTGCTGAGTCATTACAATGATTAAGGTGACCCACTCCATTTACAAAATCCTGATTCTACTTGGATCACTCCTACAACTATGAGCAAAGGAAATTCGCATGTCTTGCTGCTGGTAGCCACGCCAACCTTGTTTCTTACCCACCTGTGCTTCTATTCTAAGCCAATGATTTCACCTCTGAACCAACCCTTTGGCTGGGAGATGATGTGAGACCAAAGGTTATACTGGAGCATGAGAGCCAACTTGGAGTCAGGTAACAAAATGCACTAAGTATTAGAAGCACACGCTCTGATAGCTTAACCACAGCATACACAGCGTGAGCGCGTGAGCTGTTTGTGCCGACCACCTTCCAATGACATGGGCCTCACAATGCTAATCGGGCGCCCTCACGCACTTGTCTCTGACTCCACCAAGGACAACGATCTGAATACTTTTCCTGTAAATATCAGGATAAAAGCAGGAACATCCCAGAGGATGTAACTGCATCCTCTACATGTACCAGTTTAGAGAGAGAATTATCATCACTTTCTGTTGATTTTTTCCTCAATTAGAGAAAATTTGGTTTCTATATCTCTTTTTTAAAACCTCAACTTTATTCCAAAGTAAGTATTTGAGGTACTTTCCACCAAGCCACACTGGCCAGCCTCAACAAATGAGTTCCTAAAAAAACTAATCTATATGGAAAAAAAATAAGATAAAATAAAAAATAAATGAGTTCCTTGATTAAGGTCCCAGGGAGCTAATTTTCTTCTGTTTAATACATTGCCCCAGCTACTGATCCCGACTTCTGTGACAGACTCTTCCTTTCTTAAATGGACTATCACCGTTACCTCTGTATGGAAGACTGCACCACCATTTCCTCGCATCTGTAATTCCACGTTCCCCCAATTCAATGACTTTGCCACTAATTAGTATTACTCCAATAGCAGTTACATATAACTGATACTCTTAGCCAACATAATTCAGAATCAGTCGATTCAGAAAAGACACCCTAGGGTGGCTCTGCAGTTCTGGTGTGCATAGGTTCTACGTGTTATTCTCATCCTTCCTTAGGAATAAATGACGATAATAATAGTACGAATAGCAGCAGCCAACATTCACAGAGCCCTTCCTATGCATCAGTTTTAAGTACTTTACAAGTATTAATCTAACCCCAAATTTTCTAGGTAAGGAACTAAAGCACCGAGAAGTTAAGTAACTTGCTCCAAATCAGAACTGGGAGAGGGCCAAGCCTGATCTGACCCCAGCCAGTCTGACTCCAGGCCTCACACTCCTAACCACTAATGCTCCACTGCCTCTCAATATAAACAAGGCTAACTTGGAACTTAGTCACCAGAAATAGTTTTGGTTAATCAAGCGGACTGAAATGTAGGTAAATGAAAACCCAGATTTATGGCCCCTTTCTTCTATGGTAACTTGCAGAGGTCCTAAACATGCAAACGCTCAGCTCATGAGCTGCACAGACACATTTTCCTAATGATGCCACATGCTTTTAAAGAGAGGTTCCAGATAGTATTACCTTGTTTTCTTCCAAGTTCCTTTTCAACTTTTCTTCCAGGTCCCTGGTCTCTTCTGAGCCTTGGAGTTTTCTCTTCTCGTAATTTTCACGGGCTTCCTTAAGCTGCTCTTGTAAAACGTGGGACTCCTTTTCAATCTGTGAAATATCCTCCTAAAAGTAAATTACAAAGTTTTCTATTAAAATAGCGAAAAGTGCCTATTTGTTTTTATTTTTATTTTATTGACTTTTACAGAGAGGAGGAGAGAGGGATAGAAAGCTAGAAACATCGAGCAGCTGTCTCCCGCACACCCCCCACTGGGGATGCACCTGCAACCAATGTACATGCCCTTGACCGGAATCGAACCCGGGACCTTTCAGTCTGCAGGCCGACGCTCTATCCACTGAGCCAAACTGGTTTCGGCAAAAAAGTGCCTATTTCTGAACTTGTTCAGAACTGCCTCTTAAAATAAAGGAGTGTAAAAGGCAGGTGAAAATTTTCAAGGGAAAGAAATGCCACAATGATTCAATAATTAAAACCCCCTGAATACTGTTAAACAAAGCCAGCACTTTTAAAATAAAGTTATTCATATTACTGAAATTTATAATGAAACTTTCGATCTGTACTATAACTATGTCTGAATATTTGTCTTAAAAGGGTTTAGTATTGAATCAACAGTTTGATGTTAATGTCATTCTCTAACAACATCAAGAACTATTTATGTTTAAAAGATGTGTATATTATACATATTTTAGATATGAACAGAACTTTTTTTTACTTTGGCCCTACTTTAAAGTCTTTTAAATGGATAGTTGATGATTTTTTAAAGTTAAAATGTTATTAATGAATTGTTTTCAGTTATTTAACTGTCTTAAATCAGCTTTAAAACAAACAAAAACCAGAAGCCATAGTGGAAAGAATCCAGTACCTTTTTTCAGCAACTATGGAGTCAATCAAATAACTTTTATCTTAAGGTGTATTAACACGGTAAATTATATTAATATATTTTTTAATTCAATCATTCTTTAGAAAGCAAAGGTATCCTATCTAATAAAAGAGTAATATGCAAATTATCTATCACTCCACTCCACTCCACAAACCATGCCCATAAGCCTATCAGAACAAGTATGCAAATAAATCCAACCAAGATGGCTACAGCCACAGAGAGCAGGAGGGAGGTGTTTCACTGGCAATGGAGGAAGACAAGCTTTCCGCCTGCCCTTGGTGGCCTCAGCCTCCACTCAAGGCTACAAAGTTTCAATTATAGAAGGTAAACAAATCCAAACAGAAACGGCTGCCACCACTGAACCAGCAAGAGGCTTGACTCGCTCCAGGCTACACAGTTTCAATTGTAGAAAGTAAATATATCCCAGATACCAAGGCCTCCACTTGGGTTGCTGGAGGGCAGGGCTGGTCTGCAAACCACCACAGGCCTCTCGCTCAGGCCACCCCAATGACCCAAGGGAACCCCCACCCTGATCCGGGACACCCTTCAGGGCAAGCCAGCTGGCCCCCACCCGTGCACCAGGCCTCTATCCTATCTAATAAAAGAGTAATATGCAGATTGACCATCACTCCAACACACAATATGGCTGCACCCATGTGGTCAAAGATCCTGCCCCTATGTGGACACAAGATGGCCACCACAAGATGGCCAGCAGGGTGGGCGGTTGGGAGGGACTAGGCTTGCAAGGGAGGGCAGTTGTGAGTGATCAGGCAAGTAGGGGAGGGCAGTTGGGAGCAAATGGGCTGGCAGGGGAGCAGTAAGATATCAATCAGGCTGGCATGGGAGTGGTTAAAGGTGATCAGGTTGGCAGGCAGAAGCAGTTAGGGGCAATTAGGAAGGCAGGCAGGCAAGCAGTTGGGAGCCAAAAGTCCTGGATTGTGAGAGGGATGTCCAACTGCCGGTTTAGGCCCAATCCCTGTAAACTGGCAGTAGGACATCATTCAAGGGGTCCCAGATTGGAGAGGGTGCAGGCCGGGCTGAGAAACAATCCCCCCTACTCCCTGGCTGCATGAATTTCGTGCACTGGACCTCTAGTTTATAATATTACCTATATCATTCATGTGAATAAGCACTATTTATCAATTAATACAGGCTCATTATAGCAGTTAAACAGTAAAGCCATTATACTATAAAATAAATAAACTAGAAAAAATCTTACCTTTTCCTCTGCTTTTCCTTACCCAATTCCAACAATAAAAACAAAACAGGACTTATTCCATAAAGCTTATTCCATAATAACACTTCATATGAATTACTAGTAGATGGCTCCAAAATAGTTCTTGTCAGTCATTCGAACCTTTACACAATGTAATGCAATTCTGACTCACCTGTTGTGCCTCCAAAGGATCATATGGCTCAGTGTTGACTTCTTGATGTGCTACACTCCCAGACACCTTTGGGGCAAAACAAACACTCAATTTCAATCTATGTCAACTGCTCTAGTAAAATAGGTCCGTTAGGTAATACCATTTAAAAACATGCTCACAATTTTTTGTAGGGTTTTTTTTTTTTTTTAATGGTTTTGACTCATTACTCTTATTTGTTCAAATTTCTAGAAAATAAAAAACTTGGTGAGTAGGAGATAATCCAATCAGGGTTTAATAAATCCATGCCCAGTAAAGCTAACTACAGAAGAATCTAAATTTATGCTTGTTAGGAAGGAACTTTTATGCACCTCCCTCCTCTTTCTCTCCATCTGGTTGCTTAACTCCCTCCTCTCCCGTTTTGGTAGGAGAAACTGGGCACGTGTAACCTGGACTCTCTTTCCCTCCCTCTTGGAAGCTGTGTGTGCAGAGAGCACACTGTCCCTCCTTCTCTATCCAGTGTTACGGGGCAGGCACGACGGGAGGCCTCCAGGCCAGCACTGCTGTAGGGGCTCCACTTCATAGAGAGAACCCCATCTTCCTACTGTGCCTTAACATTACTAAAGTGATGTTTGGTTCCATCTACTGATTCCTCTAGTTTATTTCTCAACTGGTGTAAAACTGGGGGAGAAAACAAGGGTATTATTTACTAGGCCCCAAAATTCCTTCTTTACAGGATTACCCATTATGTCCTACAAAGGGCTCATATTTTCAAGACATTTTCAGGTGAAAGCATTAGTAACTATATATGTTCAATCATTTTAGTGTACATATATTGGCAATGGAAAATGGAAAAAAGTTTAACTTCAGTACTAAGACAACCTCTTTCTATTTAAGTCTTACCTGTGTGGCAAACCCTTGTGTATGTGGAATATCCGTTGCTTCATCGGTCCTTTCTGGGTTTGCTTCCTGCTTGTGGGCAGCATTTGCACAGTGACCATGGTTTCTGCTGGGCTCACTCTGGGCTGGGGCAGCACCACCTGTGCCGCACTGTGACTGTCCTGACATCTCCAAAGAGTTCGGAGGGATCTGTGTTTCTGAGGCAATCTGCTGGCCAGGGGCACGCTCAGCATTCAGACGACGGCGCCCCTCACAATACACAGCAGCACTCTGACCTGGCCTGTCATTGGCTATGTAAGAGGACACCACTGTCACCGAGGTTTGCAGCTGATACTCAGTTGAGATGGTGGCCATCGGGGTGTAAAGAGTGTATTGGGGCAACGTTGGCACCATGCTTATGTATGCTGGTGGTGGTGGGGCAACCTGGAATGGCCCAAAGGGAAGGTATGTACAGTACCCTGTGACCATTGGGGCCTGAGTCCAATAGGTTGTTTTCACGTCCTCATGAGCTGGCCTGGGAGAAACAGAGGAAGCTCGCAGGCGGCTCACCTCCCGAGTGGCTGCTCGTGGGCGGCTCGTTTCCTCAGAGGCTGCTCGCTGGCGGCTCGCATGCTGAGAGGCTGCTCGATGGCGGCTCATGTTCTGAGATGCTGCTCGCTGGTGGCTCACCTCCGTAGAGGCTGCTCGCTGGTGGCTTGCATTCTGAGATGCTGCTCGCTGGCGGCTTGCATGCTGAGATGCTGCTCGCTGGTGGCTCGCATGCTGAGACACTGCTCTCTGGCGGCTCGCATGCTGAGACGCTGCTCTCTGGCAGCTCGCATTCTCAGAGGCTGCTCGCTGTTGGCTCGCCTCCTTAGAGGCTGCTCGCTGTTGGCTCGCCTCCTTAGAGGCTGCTTGCTGGCGGCTCGCATCCTCAGAGGCTGCTTTGGGAGGACTGGCAGAGACCTCTTTGGGCTTCTCGCCCTCTGAGACTGGCCTGGGAGGATTCTCGGACACTGGTTGTGGCTTCTCGGCTTCACAGGCTAGTTTGGGAGCATCAGCAGATGCAAGCTGGGGCTTTACATCTTCAGAAGCTGGTGCTGAAGATAAAGTGGACACTGCTTTGGACTTCACATCTGGTTTAAATTCCCTAGCGGTTGGATTCAGCGGCAGTTTACCTCGTAAACACTCTCCTGTTTTTGATACTTCTCTCACTTTTGTCTTGATGTTTTTCTTCTTTCTCTTTTTCTTGAGTCGTGATGCAACTTTCTTCAAAGCAATACAGTTGTCAATCACAACAAAACGAGGACATCCCAGGAGAAAAGATTTCAAACCTCCGGCTTTTTCTAGTATCTGACGAGTTTCTTCTGGGAAGAATTCATATTCTTCAGAGAACATGTTGTTACTCATATCCAAGGGACCATGCTCTTCCAATAACTGAGAGAAATAACTGGGGAAAAATTTGCATTTATATAAGTTGTTATAAGTATTTGTACATGTTCATTAAAAATATACACTGAGTGGCCAGATTACAATCTCTGAATGCATAATAATCTGGCCACTCAGTGTATATTCTATATGATGAAAGTCTAATATGCAAATTGTCCCCTCGACCAGGAATTTGACCAGCAGGCAGGCCCGTCAACTGCCCATGTCCCCCCCCCCCCCCCCCCCCCGCCAGGCTGGCTGGATCCCACACATGCACAAATTCATGCACCGGGCCTCTAATATATATACTAAGTGGCCAGATAATTATGCGTTCAGAGATCATAATAATCTGGCCAATCAGTGTATATTTCCCAAAAAATTCTCCCAAAGCAAATACTATTTCACTTCCAGCTGATCGCAACTCTTCCCCAACAATGTTATAATCATATTAAATCTGAGAAAGGCTAACTGTATAACCAACAATACTGTAAGTAAAATTTTGTTTCTCCATCAGAAAATAATTTTTAAAACTTTTAGGAAAAAAAAGCCGAAACCAGTTTGGCTCAGTGGAGAGCATCGGTCTGCAGTCTGAAAGGTCCCAGGTTCGATTCCGGTCAAGGGCATGTACATTGGTTGTGGGTGTGCAGGAGGCACCTGGTCGATGTTTCTCTCTCATCAACGTTTCTGGCTCTCTATCTCTCTCCCTTCCTCTCTGTAAAAAATCAATAAAATATATTTAAAAAAAACAAAAACACAAAAAAAAACCCCACAAAAAATAACTTTTAGTAAAAAAAATAAAGGGGATTAAAAATTACTTTATACGTTTTTAATTATATAAGTATACAATCTATTTAAAAAGGAAAAAAAAATTTATCTGAGGGAAAAAAACAAACAAACAGAATATAAAAACAAAAATGTTAAGTGAAAAAAGGAAATAAACCCTGACCAGTTCGGCTAAGTGGATAGAGTAAACTCAAGGGTCTCAGGTTTGATTCTGGTCAAGGGCACATCCCCAGTGGGGGGTGTGCAGGAGGCAGCGGATTGATATTTCTCTCTCATCGATGTTTCTTTTATATATATAATTACTTTTTTACAGAAAAGAAGGAGAGAGGCAGAGAGCCAGAAATATTAATAAGAGAGAAACATCAGTTGCCTACTGCACACCCTGCACTGGGGATGTGCCTGCAACCAAGGCACAGACCTTTGACCAGAATCGAACCTGGGACCCAAGTCCACAGGCAGACGCTCTCTCTATACATTGAGCCAAACCAGTTATGGCATAAAATATATTTTTATTGATTTCAGAGAGGAAGGGAGAGGGAGAGATAGAAACATCAATGGTGAGAAAGAATCATTGATTGGCTGGCTTCTGCACACCCCTCTACAGGGGATCAAGCCTTCAACCCAGGCATCTGCCCTTGATTGGAAATGAACCTGGAACCTTTCAGTCCGCAGGCCCACGCTCTATCCACTGAGCCAAACCAACTAGGGCATGGCTGGAAACTTTTATTAGTCCTATCAGGACATAGCAGGACAGTTTTGGAAGTAGAAAGTATCTTCATTAGCAACTCAAACTGACAAGATAATCATTAGGAGAGAACCAAGATGGCAGCATAGGTAAACACTTGTTGCCTCTCATAACCACATCAAAACTACAACTAAAATGCAGAACAACTACCACCCAGAACAGCAGGAAAGGTGGCTGAGTGAAAATTGCATAACAAGAGAGGTGAAGAAAGTGCAGTGAGACTGGTAAGAGGTGCAAAGGCTTGGAAAATGTTGGCACCTGGATGTGCAGCTCTTTTAACCGGGAGGGAGATACAAGCTCCTGCTTGCTCTAAACTTCAGTTCTGGGTGAGACTCTGGGGGACCGAGATACATATGGGGAGAAACTGGACTGTCTGACATGGGGCAGGGATGCGAGGGCAGCTTTCAAAGGGGCTCCCAGTGATCGTTGTTCCTGCATAGGGCGGGGGACATGGAAATGCAGGGACCTCACTTGTGCAGGGCTGACTGGCTGCCATTGCTGTTTATTTTGCCCTGGTGATTTCCTGAGACCCCGCCCCACCCAATTTACAATCCCACCCAAGCTGTGTACATTGGCTTTGCATATGAATGGCCTGTTCTTTCTTTTAAAACCTGTCAAATTACAGCTGGGTAGGAGGGCCCCAGGGCTTCCAAAAGAAGGTCCAAGGCCAGCAGTAGCAGCCAGCCTTGCTTCACAGCTGGGCTTTGTCTGGGCACCCCCAATCCCCATACAAAGAGGAGGAATCTGCAGATCTCTCTGTAGCTCCTGCTGGGCAGCCCCAGATAGTGGCTGACCTTGTACCTCCTTGGAGATCCAATAGCCAGTGTACCCAATGGTCAAAATAAAACCATACCGAATTACAATCCTTCACATTCATAAATGACACACTCAAGGGATAGACTCAGTGAGCACCAAAGCCCCACTGAAGCAAGTCCTGCCCTGTAAGGGTGTCTCCTGTGTAACAGATCTTCCAGTGCAGACACAGCTGGTCATCACAGCCAATTGGCTTGGAGGACAATTCCTCCCAGTGATACCAACAGCAATCAAAAGCTAACTACAACAAAACTGTGCAAACAGCCCACAAAGGGGTGCACCAAGAGTGTCCACCTCAGGTGACTGAGGAGGCTGAGCCATTGGGTCCTATAGGACACCTACCACACAAGGCCACTCTATCAACTCAAGAAGACTTAGCAGCTACCGGGTACATAGAAACAAACACAGGGAAGCAGCCAAAATGTGGAGAAAAAGAAACATATCACAAATGAAAGAAATGGAGGAAAGCAAAATACTGGATATACAGTTCAAAAACCACAATTATAAAGTTACTCAAGAATCTTCTAGAAACCTCTGAGAAATTTAGTGAGATCCTTAAGGATATGAAAAAGGACCAATCAGGAATTAAGCATGCACTGAATGAAATAAAGAATAATATACAGAGATCCAACAGCAGACGAGAGAATCCCAAGAATCAAGTCAAAGATATGAAATGCAAAGAAGCAAAATACATCCAACCAAAAAAGCAAAAAGAAAAAATAATCCCAAAATATGAAGGTAGTGTAAGGAGCCTCTGAGACAAACTCAAGCATACCAATATCCAAATTATGGGGGTGCCAGAAGAGAGATGGCAAGATATTGAAAACCTATTTGAAGAAATTATGATAGAAAACTTCCCCTACCTGGTGAAAGAAATAGACTTACAAGTCCAGGAAGCGCAAAGAACCCCAAACAACAGGAATCCAACGAGGACCAACCACACCAAGATACATCATAATGAAAATGTCAAGGGCAAAAGACAAAAAGAGAATCTTAACAGCAGCAAGTGAAAAACAGTTACCTATAAGCAAGTACCCATATGACTGTCAGCTGATTTCTCAACAGAAACTATGCAGGCCAGAAGGGAATGACTAGAAATATTCAAAGTGATGAATAGCAAGAACCTACAACCAAGATTACTCTACCCAGCAAAGCTATCATTCAGAATTGAATGTCAGATAAAGAGCTTCACAGACAAAAAAAAGTTAAAAGAGTTCATCAACCAAACCAGTATTATATGAAATGCTGAAGGGTATTCTCTAAGAAGAGGAAGAAGAAGAAAAAGGTAAAGATAAAAAATTGTGAACAGTGACAACAAACACATTATCTATCAACAAGTGAACCTAAAAATCAAATGAATAAAAAACCTGATAAACAGAACAGACTGGTGAGTGTAATAGAATCAGGGCGTAGAAAGGGAGCAGACTAACAATTTTCAGGGGGAGGGGTTGTGGGGGGTGTGGGAAAAGACTGGACAAAGAGCTCACACCTACGGACGAGCTCAGTGGGGGCGTGGGGGAAAAGGCCTGCAGTGGGGTCAGAACTGGGTGGAGGAGAGCGATGGTGGGGAAAAAGAGAAACATCTATAATATTCAGAACAATAAAGATTAAAAAAATAATCCTTAGAATTTTAAATTTAATTATTAAAAATCCTGAGTTTTATTTGTAGAATACTGAACAAAAGCTATAAAAACACTTTGCTTCCCGAGAGTTTACAAGCCAATAAATGACTCATTAAATAATCATTTGGGATACAAATTAAATAACATCTTTAACTGGCAGCCTCCATATAAAATAGTAGTTGCAGAAACATTCTACTCACTCATACAGAGTTGAACTTTTTTGCTTTGGGTTAATGTCCCACACCTTCTTCTTATGGACAACATATTCATTGCTGTGCTGTCCATACAAAGCTTCGAATTCTTCTACGTCTTGCCGAAGGTGGTCAGGCACTACAAATGGGCCTGTGGAATTTGAATTGCGCCTGTTGATTAAAAAAATTTTCTGTGAGTAATTGACCCAGCTTTAGGTGACCGAGAATAATACAAGATTAGGCAAAAATAGGTATACAGTTGTTTGTATGAAAAATAATGCAATTAATAAATACAAGAATAAATTGTTTCATGTACTCACAAGTATAAATCTACTTTTGTCTCACTAACAAATGAAAGTAAACATAAAGATAGTAACATGTTATATGTAGGGAGCGGTTATAGGGTTAAGCCTCAGACTGACCTGCTGGCAAAGTTGCAAATAAGTCCCAGCTTAGAGGACACATTCCTCTAAGCATAATTAAGCTTGATCTTGTGACTGCTCCCTAGATCTTTCCGGGGTAACTAATGGGCTGTGGGAGGGGCAAAAAATGCTGCAAAACAAGTAAAACTTACAAGAACATTGTAAATTACCTTGTTTACCCTGACTATAAATAAAGCATCAGCTTTGCAGTCTGGATCAGTTCTGTGGCCTCAGCCAGGCACAAAAGATCCACCTAGACCCAGCTTATTCTCTTTGTCCGTCATTTTGTTCTTCCTTCACCAGCCCTCCCTCAGGCTCGCCGAAACCCTTGGCTGTGCTGGCGCTACACAGCTATGTGGTATTATGATGCAAAAAAAATAAAAATCCGCTACCAAAGGATTTAATTCAGAGAAGTTACCTTCCACAATTACAGTCAATAAATAGATGCACCTGACTACTGAATAAGCACTTTAGATTACCCTACTTATTCTTGCTACCAAGCAAATTTTTTAAAACTCCTGGGTTTAAAAAGTAAAAAGATTCAATGTTGCATTGATTGCAACTTGAAGAGAAAAATGAAAAGTTTTTTTTATAAGTGCTATTCATTTAAAGTGAAATTGAGACTCGTACTTAATAAAAAGATTAAAAAAAGGGGGGAGCATGATTTTAGCACTCTAAAAAGATGCAGTTTGCGTGTGGGCTCTACACCAGATTGCTGGGCTTAAATTTGGTTCTGCTGTTTACAAGCTGTGTCTTTGGGCACATCATGCAACACTGTGCATTAGTTGCCTTACATATAAAATGAACAGAATAATAGTTACCTCCTAGGTGAAAGACTGAATTGAAGGAGTTGTACTATATGAATAGCTCTTAGAATACTGCCTGATATATACGTGTAATATAAGCATAGGTTATTACAATTTTAATTTAAAACAATTTATCCATTTTAAGAATCCATGAAAATGACTGTGCAAAACAACTGTTATACAATCTTTAAGAAATGTAGAAAAAACCCAAAACTTTTGTTGTTGTTGTTTTGTTTTTTTTAGTCCAGAAAAAATATGATATAAAATGGTCATTGCTACATATTAGTTTTATTTCTACTTACGTCTATATTGGTTTCTTCAAAACATAGCTTCAACAACCAGATGCTATTAAAAATTACTAACATTTAAGGTTAAACTACTACATCATATATATAACTTCCAAAACATCTCCATTTCTCCTATTTAAGCAAATATGCCAGTAATTATCAATTGAACATTATCTTCAATAAACGTTTTAAAGAACATTTCCTAGGACTGCCCTATATTATCTTGCACATAGCGGGTTCTCACATTTATCAAGTGCTATCATCAGCCTCGTGATTCTATTTTTTACTAGAGGCCTGGTGCATGAAATTCGTGCACTTGGAGGGGCAGCTCCCTCAGTCCAGACTGCACCCTCTTGCTTTCCATAGGGAGTGGGCCTAAGCCATCAGATGGACATCCTTAGCACTGCCATGGAGGCAGGAGAGGCTCAGCGGTGCTCCCCCGTGGGAGCAAAGTACCACCAGGGGACATCTGCATTGAGCATCTACCCCCTGGTGGTCATTGCATGTCATAGTGACAGGTCTTTCTGCTGTTTGGTCGATTTGCATATTAGCCTTTTATTATGTAGGATAATGTCTTATTATGGGCAAGGCCTCTAATTCAATATTTTTTAGGTGGTTAAAGGAAGGGGCAGAATTTTCACTTGAGCCTGAAGCTAAAATTGCCCTTAGCTCAAAAATCTGCATACCACTGAGACACATCTTAATGATGTTCATTCTGAACCCCCACACTGTTCTATTATGTGTGTAAGTATTGGGAACCATCTTATCTCTTTAGTGAGAGGAACCTTTTGTTATGTTACAATGACTAACTTTATATCATGAGCTGTGTTTTGGCTTCAAGCCTGTATCCAGTATTCATGCAGCAACTTTACGTCTTCTGTTCAATATTTATTAGGCATATCCTTTATTTTATTTTCTCTAAATCTTTATCGATTTTTATGTATTAGACAGGAATAGCTAATGAACACAGTCTGGCGAAGGCCTGGAAAGGGCAGGTGCGGGGTGAAGGACATCAACGGGGGGGGGGGGGGATATGGGGAATATGACCTAAAACAAAGGGACATCTGTAATACTTTCAACAATAAAAATACATTTTAAATAAAAGAAAATAGTTTTAGTTGAAAAGAGTTTTATGTGAAATAACATAGGTAAGTGCTCTACATTGTACTTTACATTCTCAACTCCTCTCAAGGAGATATTAATTGACCCCATGTTCACTGACTGCAGGACTGACTGCCATGGGGGCTGCGATCAGACCCTGCTTTTCTCTTGTGGCCTCTGTCCGGGCCTGATCGCAGCTCCTTCAGCAGTCAGTGTGGGTCGCTGAATTACAGTGTTCGGTTGAGCCTTTGGTCATTTTGGACATTATGGACTTTAGCTCTTTATTTATTTATATGTACACAAACACACAGACTAGAGGTCCGGTGCACGAAATTCGTGTGTGGGGCAGGGGGAGGGGTGTCCCTCAGCCCAGCCTGCACCCTCTCCAATCTGGGATCCCTTGAGGGACGTCCAATTGCTTGTTTAGACCTGATCCCAGTGCGACTGGGCATAAACCGGCAGTCAGACATCCCTCTCACAATCCAGGACTGCTGGCTCCCAACTGCTCACCTGCCTGCCTTCCTGATTGCTCCTAACCGCTTCTGCCTGCCAGCCTGATCTCCCCCTAACCACTCCCCTGCCAGCCTGACTGATGTCTAACTGCTCCCCTGCCAGCCTGTTTGCCCCCAACTTCCCTCCTCTGCCAGCCTAGTCACTCCTAACTGCCCTCCCCTGTAGGGCTGATCACTTCCAACTGCCCTCCCTTGCAGGCCTGGTCCCTCTCAACTGCCCTCCCCTGCTGGCCATCTTGTAGTGACCATCTTGTGTCCACATAGGGGAGGATCTTTGACCACATGGGGGCAGCTATTGTGTGTTGGAATGATGGTCAATTTGCATATTACTCTTTTATTAGATAGGATAGAGACCTGGTGCATGGTGGGGACCAGCTGGTTTGCCCTGAAGGGTGTCCCGGATCAGGATGGGGATTCCCTTGGGGCATGAGGTGGCCTGAGCGAGGGGCCTATGGTGGTTTGCAGGCCAGCCACGTCCCCTGGTGACCCAAGCGGAGGCCCTGGTATCTGGAATTTACCTTCTATAGTTGAAACTTTGTAGCCTGGAGCAGAGCCAAGCCTCCTGCTCTGCGGCCAGCAGCCATTTTGTAGCCTTGAATGAGGCTTAGTCTGGCTAGGGCAGGCGGAAAGCTCGGCTTCTTTCGTTGCCTGGGAAACCCAAGCCTTCCTCCTGCTCTGTAGCCATCTTGGTTAGGTTTATTTGTATACCCTCTCTGATTGGCTGGTAGGTGTGGTTTGGTGGAGTGATGGTTAATTTGCATATTACTTTTATTAGGTATAATTGTCCTCCCTTGAGGGTATGTTTTTTAACTAGAAAGAAAGGGAGAGAAAAACATTGTTCAGTTGCCTCTTGTACACACCCTGACCAGAGATCAAACCTGAAACCTTAGTAGGTGCCATGGCTGGGAATCTAACACACAACCTTCTGGTGTATGAGACAACACTCCAACCAATGGATTCATGCAGCCAGGGCAACTTTGTGATTTTAATGCAGTTTTTATAAATTTTCATCATTGACAAGTCATGCTATAAATTCAATCAAGATGATCACATAAGGTTGTCGTTCAAGATGTAGATCTTTAGACAGAGAAGTTAGGGAAAGCACAAATGTAAAGTATATTAAATTATCACCGCTTAAGTTAAAACACTTGAGTTAAAATGAAGCAAAATTTAAAAACTGTACTTACTTATGGTCTTCACCTGAAGTGATATTCTCATTATTAGGTGTTATTGAAGTTGTTCCAGACCCAACTAACATAGGCTGTTTTAAAAGACAAAATAATGAAAATAATGTTCTATCTTAAAATTATCGTTAACACTGATGAATGCTTCCATAAATATGCATGCAGATTGACAATATATGAGACTTACCTAAATTGTCTTTTGAATAGAAACATATTAATAATAAAAGTTTCAACTACCATAAATAGGCCCAAATTAACATTAGGTAGTTTACCACACTCCAAAAAATTGAAAATGAGTTCAAAATTCCCATTAGTTTTATTAACTGCTCCATCCTCCTCTAATACTTGTTCACTATTTCCACACCTGCCCCCAACATGACCCTTAAATACATGAGCGTTATGAAGAGCCCCTCATGACCTCATGGGTTAGAGCTCAACCTTGTGTGAGAGGAAGGAGGGGAGATTCTGCTTTGTGGTTAGGATTCACCACTTTTATTTTGAAAGTTTTCATTATTTATAAGGGTATCATCTCCTCATACAAATGGTTAACACTAGGGCACAGGAAAGTCAAATAACTTGCCCAAGGTCACAGAGATAATAGAAACAGCAATAAAAATCACAATAATTGGTCACACAAAGCTGTCTTGGTCACCCTGTTGTATAACTACCCAGATAAAATTCCACATTATGACAATTGTCTTTACTCAAAAATTTTCAGAAAATAAAAAGGGCAATAAAAATAAAAGTCTCTTTTAATGGTTACTAATATACAACATGAACCTTGAATTTATTCAAAATGTAGAAGACTGCCAAAATATCTTTAAAGCCTAGAAAGTTGTTGCAACAAAATACTTCAAAATATCCCAAGAACTGGTTAATTCTAATTTACATATTAAATTATTTTACATAATTAACTCACAAAATACTCCATACCTTTAAATCTTTTGGCTTCTTTTTCTTGCCTTTGTTTTTTATCTTGGGAGAATTAAACTAAAAAATGGAGAGAAAAATCACTGAACACTCAAATAACAGCATTATGAAACTACCATATATTATACCATGACATTGAGATCGGTCATAAGTTGAATTATATAAAATGTTTAACAAAAATAACACTATGGTGTGTTAGCCCTATTGTTATAATATATCAGAAATTAAGAAAAAGTTTAATGTTGCCTGTTATAACTAAAATTACATTGTTCCAACATTTTGAACTCATTTAAAAAAAATGTTTTATTGATTTTTTTGCAGAGAGGGAGAGGGATAGAGAGTTAGAAACATCGATGAGAGAGAAACATCGTTCAGCTGCCTCCTGTACATCCCCTACTGGGGATGTGCCCACAACCAATGTACATGTCCTTGACCGAAATCGAACCTGGGACCTTTCAGTCCGCAGACCAACGCTCTATCCATTGAGCCAAACCAGTTTCGGCTGAACTCATTTTTAGTAAGGTTTACTATATCAGACTTTTAAGGTAATTCCAGTTATACGCTAACAATATTTTAATGATTTTTCTTTTACTTAGACAAACTAGACATGTGCAGCTGGCCAGACACGGGAGCACTGACAGTGCATTTAGGAGAAGCTTTAACCTGTCAGGTATCTTAGCTGTGCTTGCATAAGTAGCTAGGCAATACCTGATAGAATGGATTAAGACAAAACTTCCAAGTATAGATGACTTGATACTATAAAGTAAGCAAACAAGCAATTTTCTGTTTGAAAACTGCCACAACCTACTGAGGAAGACAACTCTGGCATTCTAATTTACACTCAATTTGGAGGCACTCCAAACAATGTCCCCTTATTTTTCTTAAAGAGCAAAACATGAAAATTTTCACAATTACTGATAACTTTTCGTTTTTATGCCAGGAGATTATTCAAGAACTGCTTTCCTATTTCTAAGACTAACATTTCTTAGCTGTGGGACTTTAAGGCGGTTGGTAACGGAAGCCTCAGCGTTTGCTGACTTGCTCCGATTCTGAGGGGCAGATTGGGATTTGCTTCCTAATGAAATATTAGGCATTGCCAGAAGTCCTCCTGACTGGGTTCTGGAGTGCCACCTAGGATGGAACTACTGGCCTGGGGCCTCCCCCTTCCTTTGGCCAACACAAACCAGAACACAACATTTAAAGTGACCAAATGTCTTACTGGCAGATCCCCGCTGTCTTGCTTCCTCAGCACCGTGCAGCGGCTGTCTGCAGGAGGAGAGAGAGTTTTGTGAGCAAGCGAAGCATTAACATCGCCATGTAATACACCAAAACAGGGATGGGGAACCCTTCTCCTGCCAAGGGCCATTTGGGTATTTATAACATCATTCATGGGCCATGCCAAATTTTCAACTTAAAAATTAGCTGCTATATTTGTTCAAACATTCAATTAACTAATCCCTAATGCCTTAATCACATGATTACTTGGGCCTTGGCGGGCCAGACATTCCCCACCCTGCACTATAGCTTTAAAGAAAACCACCCCAGGTACACTGACACAGACTATGCTCTATGCCTCATTCGGCTTTGACACAAGTCTAGTTTAGGAGGCAAGGGTGAAATGGCTAACTAAACGGGAAGCCAACTACAAAGAACCACAAAATTTCAATCCATTTCAGCGTAATTTGAGTGCCTTCTAGGGGCCAAACTCTATGCCAGGTGTTGGGAATAGAGGTGCACAAAATAGTCCCTGCCACCCACACGCCTATTTCTACAAAAAAGACAGGCAGGCAGATGCCTGCCACCCGGTGTGCTAAGTCCCACAATAAATACACGGAATGAAGCTGACAGAATAAAGAAGTCTTCGAGGGGAGAGGTCCAGGGGATCATCAGGGCTTTGGGGAGGAAGGGGCTTGAAATGAACACTCAACGGGGTGGGATGAGGCTGGAGGAACTGAATAAGCAAAGACAGGAGGCAGGAAAGGACAGGGCAGGTTGGGGCACAGTAACTGGTGTGGCGTTGATTCAGAAGGCAGATGGGCAGAGTAATGGAGTAATACGGAGAGGAAGAATCCAGACCAATCCAGGTTTCCTCTTAAAAACCAGATACACACCAATGTTACTGATTGGATAAATTCAGTCAGTGGGACGTAAACGAGTTCAGCCACATTGCTCTCAAGGGACCTCTTGGCTTCTACACAGGAATTCCAACAGGGAAAATGCACGCAGACTTCAGGAGGCAGGTTGGGGCTCCCAACTTATCTTTATCTATAAGATCCGCGGACTTTTTACACTTTAAAGGAATATTAGTACTTCTAATGAAAGGAGACAAAACTGAAAATGTCAGGGTAAAGGTGAGAGGCAGAGCTATGGGCTTGGAAATCTGTTGGTCAGTCATTTGGCTGCTGGCTTCTGACTCAGCAGAGAAAGGGTGGCAGCCCGGTGGACTGCATTTTAGGTTCAGAACACCAGAATCAGGAACATGCACACAGTGGGAACTGTGTCCTTTTTACTTGTCCTGTGGTTGTGCAAGCTCAGTCCCGGGACAGCATCTTATTTACTGGTAGCTATGACATGCACTGACCACCCAGGGGTAGACGCTCCAACCGGTTAGCTTGCTGTTGGGGTCTGGCCGATTGGGACTGGGAGAGGGGCTAGACACACCCTGGAGCCCTCCTGAGGTCCCTCCCCAGTGGCCAACCTTCTTTTGTCCTTCCCTGGCCCCGAATATGCACTGGTGGGGTTCCAGATTGCAAGAGAGCACAGGCCAGGCCAAGGGACCTCACTGGTGCACAAATCTGTGCACTGGGCCTCTAGTTTCGTAATAAATTCTGTCAACAAGCAATCTCTGCCACAACACTGTCAAGATATCTAAGATGAGAACAGTGATCTAAATATGTCCACAACACTGAGTTCCATAGAATAAGTTTGAACATAAAAAGTACTATTCTTAATCACTACCCTCCGCAGATACAGATTTCCCCCCTAAGACCAGGTATGGTATAAACTGAAACTCGACCCACATACCCATGATATCGAAGAATTCATCTAACGCATTGTGCAAGGCTGGAAACTTGTCTCTGTGTTCTTCCAGCAGCCAAATCAGACACCGGGCTTCCTTCAATGATGCCAGCTCGCAGAAATAGTCAAGTTGCTTTCCTTCTATAGAGCTTAGTTTATGACCATACATCTCATTCCAGAGAAAAGTCATGATGCTAAAATCAAGCTCCTTGAGAGATGCTCCAAAACGGGAGAAGAAAGATTCTGTGGCATCTAAACCTGTGATAAAAACAAAACCCAAATCAGATGGCAAACCACTTACATTAACATCACCTTCACCTTCACATCTTGTGCCTGCTTGAGGGCCTTAGGCAAAGAGACTGGTTGGGCCTTCCTCAACCAAACCAGGAAAACCAGAAGAGAAGAACAGTTTTATGATCCTGTGGTAGATTTACTTTAGGTGATCTTAAGCAATTCTTCCATCTATTCCTCCCTCTAACTTTTCCATTAAGGAATCAGACTTCCGAACCACACAATCCCAGAGGGCACGACAGGGGGTGCTATGTAACCATGCCTGGGCCCAGTATTTACAGTCCTTACATTTTACACGTTTACAAATATTTAGCATAATATGGGACTGAATTTCTAACTGACTGAGCTTTTTTGTGTTTATACCTTTTGAAAGTGTATATTATAACCTTTGTGTAAACTATAAATTGTGAGTTGGAAAAATAGTATTTTTAACCTTATCCATTTGTAGTCCTACTTAAAAAAAACAACCACACACAAATAATGACAGAAAAACAGAAGACTTGGAGGCCCAGGTGTCCTTTCTACTAAACTGCATCTCTAAAAGTAAATGACATACCAAAGCTATTAAGTTTCTGGATCCAAGTGGCTAACTTTGGCTCCACTTCTTTCAGCTCACTCAAAACATGCAGGAATATCCTTGTTTTGACTCTATTATTTTCTTGAACCAAGTGACGAATGACGTAGTCCACCGCTTCACTTAGAAAATTTCTGCTGGAAAAGCAGGTGGTGTAGTCTTCTGTGCTCAAAACCTTCCAGGAGAGCAGCTCTTTGAGGAGCTTGGACGCATCCAGCACCCCGGACTTGATCTTGTCGGAGTTCTGCTTGATGCACTGCAAGATCCTGTCGTCTAGGAACTGGCAGCTCTCAGCACGGGCGACAGTTTCTGAGGATAAACCACACGGTCAGTTAGTGAGAAACAGGACCAACCTGCAGACAGAAACTTAAGAGAGAAATGCAGTAACCTCACAGAGCAATACAAACATGGCGCAGATGGAGTGTTGATGTTTTAAATAAACAACTCAAGAAATTTTAAATTAGGAATATAAATATAGGGTGGGGCAAAGGTATATTTATAGTTGCTCATATAGATAACACAATAATTAATAAATAATAACAGAAGAATAAACTCTGTTTCACTCAATCATAAGGGTATGTTTTCTGCTCCACCCTGTTTTAACAATACCTTTGTAAAAATAGAGTTCACATTCAACAAAACGCAGCAAAGGTAACTTATCTCATTCACTCTGTACCACTCATGAACATCTAAAATTTGAGTCCCTCTCAAATAAAATTACTTCCCTCTACCATGCTAACCCAGCTTCATCAACTACCTGAAATTATAAATTTTATATTCAATATAACATGGTTATATCCAATAAACATGTTTAGTCATTAAGAATACCAATGGGTTTTTTGGAGCTAAACAAGGACATACAATCATTTATTCAGTTGCAGATTCAATTAATATTTGGTAGTTCTTATTATATTATTCATCCTATTGTTGGATCCTAAATTGCAGACCTGGGACTCACTGACTACTAGTGGGAAAATATCTCAGAAGTTCATCATCCTGCCGAAACCGGTTTGGCTCAGTGGTAGAGCGTCGGTCTGCGGACTGAAAGGTCCCGGGTTCGATTCCGGTCAAGGGCATGTTCCTTGGTTGTGGGCACATCCCCAGTAGGGGGTGTGCAGGAGGCAGCTGGTCGATGTTTCTCTCTCATCGACATTTCTAGCTCTCTAGCTCTCTCCCTTCCTCTCTGTAAAAAATCAATAAAATATATATTAAAAAAAAAAATTCATCATCCTGCCCACTCATCTTCCTACAGGATGGCCATGTAACCTCTTGAAGCACCCAAAGTTAAAATACCAACATTCACTGAAACCTTTTCAGTAAGAAAGATCATTTTGGTTGATTTGTGAAACATTAATGGAATACTAGATGAAACAATAAGATAGCAAGAGGAAGTATTTATTTTATAGATGGCCATCGCAGAAAATGAGAATAACTTACTTCAAATCATCTGGAAGTATACATACAGACCAGTATGTCCACAGAAACAGTGAAATTACCAGAGACGTTCTCATGTTGATCACGGAATGATAACAAGATGAACATAAAACAAAAAGGCTATACTAGGCAATCTCTATGGTATCTTTTACGAAAAGCTTCATTTGAACTCAGTAATGTTTCAGATAATTAGTGACTTCATAGTTTACACTTTTAGAACCTAAATCCATATAGTGGAGCCCACAGACTGTTGTCCAACATTATTTCCACCTTCAGTTCAGCAATGAGTAAAGGTACAGTCTGTCCCAGGTTGGTGGCACGTAGTGTTTTGAAACCCTGTGTACCGCTTCCAAAATCAGTGCCCTGTGTCCCATCCGCACCTATGACAGTATTAAAGTATTAACTGAAACCTAAATTTCAATTCAGTACAATTAACCTAAATCCCAGAAAGATGAGTATTCACATTTCGAGTTGAAGCGAGAATACATTATCTTTATGATGCCTTGGACTCCAGCATACCTTTAGGCTCTTCCGTTTTGGGTTGATTACTTTCCCGTAAATTCTCTTCCAGTCTTTCTTGTGCTAATTTTTTTGCTTCCTGCTTTTGGATCTTTCTCTTCAGTTTTTTGTCTTCTTTCAGTCTTAGCTTCTTTAGGCTGATAAACATTTACAGTTAGTGATAATTCACCTGTTATAAACGCAACTATTTTCCTTTGGCTTCTATAGAAAGCATTCTCTAAACAGTAAGATAGGAGTGTTCCTTTCTAGTCAGAGCTCAGTCTGCACCTTCTGTTCAGTATCAAAAGCTGTTGATATGTGGTCAATGCAGTCAAACTAATGGCACTTGTTTCATGAAAACAAGGGCCTAAGGGGACTGAGTGACTTAGTTAAGGATGGCACATATAGATGGCGCAGATATTATTTCCATGTTTACAAGTTACTGCTTAAGGTGAATAGGAAAAATAAAAATTATTCTGCGCCGAAACCGGTTTGGCTCAGTGGATAGAGCATCAATCTGCGGACAGAAAGGTCCCGGGTTCGATTCCGGTCAAGGGCATGCATGTACCTTGGTTTCGGGCACATTCCCAGTAGGGTGTGCAGGAGGCAGCTGATCGATGATTCTCTTTCATCTATGTTTCTAGCTCTCTATCCCTCTCTCTGCCTCTCTGTAAAAAATCAATAAAAAAATATATTTAAAAAAAATTATTCTGCAAGATAATACATGTACACACTTATTTCAAAAAAAGATCCCACAGTAAACTATTATTTTCACTTCCCAATAATGGCCCACAACTACAGAATTTGGTTAATATGGTTACAATGAATTCTCTTGAACAAATAAGTCTATTCCTCTTTTCTTTTGCCTTTTCTTGATCACCAAGGATGAAAAAAATCACTTATTAGAATTTAAAACAAGAGGCAGGACCAAAAAGAGAAGCAAAAAAAACATAGAAATTATTTGATCTGAACAAGAGGATACAAAGAAGGAAATAATTTTGACAGTACATTAAGTATTTCAGTGTGAGAAATAAGTTACTGGTTCAAAATGTTTGCTGAATAGAGAAACTATGCTTTTGGAATTAAAGTTTAAACAACTGAGAGCTAAGTATGCAATTTTTATCTAAATGCTAAATCTATTAATCACACGTAATTTTACAACATCAAATGTCATAATTTTACTTGTAAATTCAACTACTAAATAAGGCTATGATTCAAGTTTCAGTATTAACCATTCCAGGCTAGTTCTCTTTAAATTTTAAATATCCATAAAAAGCATTTAAAAACCACTTAATTGGACATGTGTGTATAGCCAATTCAAAAACAGCATAATTTAGAAATCCTGTACATAATAGAATGATATTGTAAAAGACATCATGAAGCTAGTGATGGGTTGTTAGAAATCTTACCTAGAACATTTCTGTTTCAGAATAGGTTTTGAAGGAACCTTCTTTTCTTTTACGACTTTGTGTTCAAACTTTAAATAAAACAAAGATACCAGAAATTTGTCTCATACTTTCAGGACATAAAGAACAAAACCACAAGAAACAAGCACTTCAGAAGCACAGTCAATGGTCAGTTTGGCAGAGAACAGTGATGATGCTCTGACCCAGACAAAAGCCCAGAAAACTTTAGTAAAATAATGTATTAAAAAGAGAAATGAGAGTACATACACTTTAGCAAGAAATGTTTTTTAAATTAAAAGTAAGCAGAGATAAAATAAACTACAAATCTATATAAATAAAACCCTAATAAGCAAATAGACTGTATGGTGGAACCACCAAACAACTGGTCATTATGACGTGCACTGACCACCAGGGGGTGCATGTGAAACATGGCGGGCATTGGCTGTGGTGGGATGGTGGAGCAGGTGAACAGGGGTGCCAAACCAAGGCAGGGCACCAATCACTGTCATCGGGGAGAGCCTCTGATGGTTACTGAAAATTCTTTGCTCCCGTGTGCCACAATTCTGCCAGGCACTGGCACCCAATGCTGGCTCTGATCACCCCTGTGGGCTTCTCCACCTCCCCCAGCGCCTGCTTGCACCCATTGTCGGTGCCAGTGCTGGAGCAGGGCTGCGGGCACACATACACAGCAGCAGGGGCCTGGCAGGGGTACAGAGGATGGGCCAAGACCTGCCCCTGTGCCCACCGCAGCCTCGCAGGCCACAGTTGCTTTCAAGGTGCATGAATTCGTGCACTGGGCCCCTAGTATCTTAATAACAACCTACTCCTGCCACTTCCATATAGAAGAGATAAAGGTAATCCCTCAAGACACTCCTCCCCTCTCTATGTACCCTCACCCTCAAATACCATAAGTTTACCAGGAATAAAGATAACAAAGTTATAAAAAGAGTGACAACAGTAAAACTAAACTGTAAAAAGCCTCCTTTTCCTGTTAGGAAATAAAAGAATGTCAGAATCCTTTATGGCAAAGAAGCATTCTCACATCCTAATCATTCGTATATTGTCTGAATTAAGTAACTGTTTCCTGGAAAAAACAAAATCCAAATCATACAACTTCCATATATTTAAATCATGCTTTAAAAGGTATAAGCATTCTCATTGTCAACTTAGTAAGATTTCCCCTTAATTAGATACTTACTTCACATTTAACTTGACCACCACTGCTGAAGATGATAATCTTAGAAATAATACCTTCACAGTCAGGGGTAAGACAAATTCCTTGTAGAAAATCCTATTTGATTAAAAAAAAAAAGAGTGCTATATATCAGAACAAATCTAAATATGTATACTATTATAACCATCAGGAATGGTTAAAACAGCATCAGAAACCTCCAGGGCACACTGAGAGTCCCTGCTCACTGCCATGGGACCTGCAGAGCCTCCCTGCAGAAGGAATGACTTGCTTGGTCAATGCAAGGAGAGCTGACAGGACATACACCAAGCACGTCCCCAAAAAAGCTTAAGAAATGCTGAAGGCCCTTGATCTTTATCCTCTGTCACAAGAACATGTACCAGGCAACTTCTATTCAGACACACATACACACACAAAAAAAAAACAAACAAACCCACCACCACAGTGCCCAGCTGGCGTGGATCAGTGGTTGAGTGTCAAGCTATGAACCAGGAGGTTATGGTTTGATTCCCAGTCAGGGCACATGCCTGGATTATGGGCTCCATCACCAGTGTGGGGTGTGAAGGAGGCGGCCTATCAATGATTCTCTCTCATCATTAATGTTTCCCTCTCTTTCTTCCTCTCTCTGAAATCATTAAAAACATATTAAAAAAACAAACCACCCAATCTTATTAGTATTACCTTGTCAATTTTATCATTAAAGGTTGTTGTTTTTAACTTCTTCCAACAGTTCATGTGAAATTCTATTTTGCAGTACTGGCAACAGCTGATTCGTATAAAACCCTGGGGGAGTTAAAAAAATGTTTAATTCACATTTTAAAGGTGCTGTCTCACACACATACAATCCCTCCCCCACCTCTAACTCACTAAGCATATTAAGAAAAAGAGAAAGCTGTTTGCATTCACCTGGTACACACAATTAAATAGCACATTTCCTCATGGGAAAGCATACTACTTCTGTACCCCAGAATGCCTAGTGCCAAAGATACATGCTTGACTGACATATTCTCTTTCATAGCTTACAGTTGCATTATTCTTTAGTGTATAAAGTATTTTATAAACAATATTCCATCTCAGCTTAATCAGGGACAGTGCCACAATGGGCAGCTTATTATCTTCTTGAATAAACTAAGGCCCAGTAACTTATTCACTTAATTATGTGCCAGACTTGATCTCAAATTTATGTTTCTGAGAGTCAATTCAGCGATCAACAATGGCCTTTAGATTATTGGAGTCCAATTTTACAAGAGAGAGAATTACAACAAATCAGAGGTAATAATCTCATTTTGTTTCCTGTGCCCCTAGGAGCAGGCAGTCGATGGCACAGAGGCTAGGAAGGGGAAACGGAATTAGCCAGCCGGCCCTCAGTGTTGATTTCAGTGGCTCTGGGTTCCCAGGTGAGATGGTGCAGACCTGAAGAAGTCGGGGGAAGGGGTGGACCACAGGACATAAACTGTTGGCACCCCGGAGAACTTGAGTGCCTCTAATTACAGGACTGGTTCTAAATTCATTGTGAGGCACAACTGTGCAAGTTACTGTCCCAGCGCACAGTCGTGCCTTACCTTAAAGTCTGGATCTGAGATGTATATCTGGATTTTGGAATATCCATGGCACTTCTGATAGCAACAAACAGCATCTGGCACTGGAGGGAACCTGCATTCTTCAATAAATTTATCTAAGATCATCTAAAACAAAAAAGATACTATTAGAACACTTGTTCATCAATCAAAATGCATATGATTTTAATAACCTCTTGCTGTCAAAATATTTTCATTCTAGAAATAACTAAATGTTTAGCCAAGAACAAACTACATACCACTTTTTAATGGAGGCTGATACAGAGACATGTCCATAGAAAATGGAATGGGGGAGAGAAGAGGGCAAGAACAAAAAAAGATTTTCAGAATTTCAAAGTCAGAATCAAAATCTTACCTGTTGTAACGATCAAACCTCACTGTATAATGTATCTCTTATGAATCTCCTTTAATCATACGATTGACTGTGTGCTTCCAGAGGGAATCCTAAGGTGAAACCCCCTTAGACGCTATTCTGCTCCTGATCCCTAGGGCGCTTGCTTCACCTGAGATCCTAGCACCTGCCTCCTCCCGGAGCCCCTGCTACCTGCGCTGGTTCTTGCCCTGACAACGATCCCACTGCTCTTAAACCATTGTTATCAATAGTTCCCGTGCCTCCATCCCAATTTAAAGTTTAAAGAAAAATATCCAATGATCATTTGTTTTACAATTTCTTAATAGCAGCTTCATTAAAAAAAAAAAAAGTAGCAGCTTGGGGAAAGATATCATTCACTTACCATACAATTCACATATTTAAAGCGTGTCTTTAGTACATACACAGGGTTGTACAATCATCACTTCAGTCTAAATGTATATTTTCATCATCTAACAAGAAACCCCATCCCCATTAGAAACTCCTCCCCATTTCCTTCAATACCTAGCTCCTCCCAACCACTAGTCTACTTCCTGTGTCTATGTAGATTTGCCTGTTCTAGAGATCCTATATAATAAAACCCTAATATACAAATTGACCAAACGGTGGAATGACCAGTCGTTATGACGTGCACTGACCACCAGGGGGCAGCTTCTGCACTGAGCTGGGGAAGCACCGCTCAGTCAGAAAGTGGGCTCATGGCTGACGAATGTAACAGCAGTGGCAGGAACCTCTCTCGCCTCTGTGGCAGTGCTAAGGACCCCTTAGGGAACATCCAACTGCCAGCTTAGGTTCACTCCCCAGAGCCAGAAATACCCCAAGGGACCCAGACTGCGAGAGGGTTCAGGCAGGGCTGAGGGACACCCCCTCCAGTGCACAAACGTCATGCACCAGACCTCTAGTTTCACATAAATGGAATCCTACAGTCTGTGGCCTTTGTGTCTGGCTTCTTTCACTTAGCATAATGTTTTTGAGGTTCGCTCATGTTGTAGCATGTGGGTACTTCATGCCTTTCTATGGGCTGAATAACATTCAATTGTATAAATAGGCTGTATTTTATTTAGCCATTCATCAATTGATGGAACACTTTTTGCCTCCTGTGAATAATGTTGCTATGAACATTCATGTACAAGTTTTTGTGAAAACGTGTTATCTCTGTATATATCCAGGAGTGGAACTGCTGGGTCACAGGATAACTCTTCTTTAACCCACGAGGAAGTGCCAGACTATTTTCTCAAAGCAACAGCACGGTTCTAAATGCCCACACCAATGCAGGAAGGTTCTGACTTCACCACATCCTTGTCAACACTTATTCTTAGCTGCTTTCTGAGGATAACCATCCCAATGGGTGTGAAATCGTATCTCACTATGGTTTTAATGTGTTTCTCTGGTAGCTAAGTTGTTGAACACCATTCACGTGCTTATTGGCTATTTGTATAGCTTCTTGACAGATATGTCTACTCACATCCTTAGGCTATTTTTTAATTAGATTAGTTGTCCTTTTTTTAAATATAGTAGTTTATTGATTATTTACAGAGAGGAAGAGAGAGGGATAGAGAGTTAGAAACATCGATCAGCTGCCTCTTGCACACCCCGTACCGGGGATGTGCCCGCAACCAAGGTACATGCCTCTGACTCAGAATCGAACCTGGGACCTTCCAGTCCGCAGGCCGACGCTCTATCCACTGAGCCAAACTAGTTTTGGTGAGATTAATTGTCTTTCTATCATTGAGTTGTGAGAGTTGACCCCTATTCTTTGAAAAGTTTTGGTCAAAAGCCAGTTCTTAGTACATGACCAGGTTCCCCACAACCAAAGGCCTACCCTAATCAATTTATGCATAATTTAGTCTCTCAAAAGCTAGCAAAGCATCCTCTGCTTCTGGATTTGAGACTAAATTTACACTTTCTGAGTTTTTAAGTACCCCTCAGTAACAGCAGTAACTATGATGAAACAGCAATGCTGCCCCTTTCTGAAGGATTGCATGCCTTAAGAATGCACAATGAAGTCAGAGCACCTGGATTCAAAACCAGCTCCACCATTTCCCGGCTGTTTAACCGTGAGCTCATTACCTAACCTCTCTACACTTAATCTTCCCTCTCCATAAAATTGGGATAGATCATAGTACTCATCTGTAGGACTGCTGTGAGGACTGGAGGCATGGAAGTGACAGGTGTGTGACTGGCAATAGAAAACGTTTTGTAAATGTTAGTACTTCTCCTAGTCCTTAAAGGGGAAGCACCGTGGGGGCGCTGAAGCCAGAATGCTGTCTCCTTGCCTTCTGACACCTGAGCCAGCCAGTGAAGGCGGGCTTTTGCAGTTGGTGAGAAGCTCTCTGCAGAAAGAAATGGTTACCTTTATTTTCCCCGGCCGAGTCTCGTCAATAACCACATTACTTGTGGGCCAAGTTAGCACTCCAGGGAGTCGACAAATCAGGTTTTTTGCTTTCTCAAAGTGATTAAGAGCTTCTAGAAACCTAGTCATAATAACGAAGAAAAAAGGTATTAAATATGTTACATGAATTTTCATTCCCACAATAAAAGTCAGAGATTTCAAGATAACTAGTAAGAGTATATTTGAGCCCAGCCAATGTGACTCAGTGGTTGAGTGTAGACTTATGAACCCAAGAAGTCATGGTTCAATTTCGGGTCAGAGCACATACAAATTAATCCCCCTGGGGGAGGCGGGGGTGCAGGAGGCAGCCAATCAATGATTATCTCTCATCATTGATGTTTCTCTCTTTCTGAAATCAATAAAATCAATATAATACATTTGATAAATCACTGCACAGAAATTCACTATAGAAAATCACTATATAGAAATTCTTTAAAATTTTTTTATTTTATTTTATTAGGACATCTACTAACCTGTTTTTTTTCAAGTACACTTTTCCAATTCCACAGAAGGCCAAGCAATCAAGGCCCTCATTGGGGTAGTGTTCAATCATCCTCTTAAATTGGTTTTCAGCTTCAGATAATTCCTTCAAAGGCAGTAAGAATAATAATCACTCAAAAAATAAATGCTGGAAGTGACTTTATCTGAAGGCTGATTCTTTTGGTATAACATTAAAAACAACTATCTGTCCAAAACTTCTTTGGCAAAATTATACCTTCCAGATTCATTTTCTTAGCAATTTATAAATTGTGACCATATGTACGATACTCACACCCAAAGTGATTCAGCTCCAGAATGAAAAGCTGGCACTGAACACATCAAATCACCAAGCAGATGAGCGTTTCCACCCACACACAGAGGCCCGCAGGGCTGGCAGACAACACACAGTGTGACTGCATGGTGAAGAGACTGATGTGCACAATGACACAGCGCATGTATCCTGGTGAGTGCTGTCTCCTTAGGGGAACAGCATGCCAATGAGGTTGCTAAACGCTTTGTGGCATCAGACAGATAAATGCTCAACTGTAAAACCAGCCCTTTAGTAACACTTTCGGAGACAGAAGTGTGTTCTTTTGAATATTCTCAACTGTGGAATCCTCTGCTTTACATGAATTTTGTTTTTAAAAAAATCTAAAGACACTTAGATCCAGGCAACACTGCTAACCGCATTGTGGTTGAGAAAGAAATGTCACCACAAAATGGAGTTCTTTAGAAGCTTTGAGGCCAGTTCCAATGGAGGCATGGCAAACGTGTCTTAAGCAAGGGCTGTACTGGAGTAAGTATATCGCTACTCTGAATAATTAAATTCTTTCAAAGGTTCAAGTTTCATCACATTGTTATATTTCTGTGATCAGTCTCACTACTTCAAAGTAAATCACAAATGCAATAAACTATCTCTTCAATTCCAAAAAGGCAAACATAAAATCTTTATTATTGCTCTGTCAAGAATAAAAGAATTGAGATCATGAAATTTGTCTCCAACAATCTAAACAATGGGCAGGTCTTAATGAAAGATATTCACCTGTCACAACCAGAACAAGGAAAGAAGCAGGCCACTAGGAAAATGAACTGCAGGCACTGCGGGCCACTGGGCAAGTGAACATAAAAAATAACTTGCTCCTCATTAGGTAGCAATTAGAGTTAAGCCTTCATCTAGCCAAGGAAGTTAGGAGCCCATATTGGTAGCAAAAGAATATTACACCTGAGATAATTCTAGAGCCATTTCAATCTTTATTTAAAAACAACAACAAAAAACAAAACAAAACAAAACAAAAACCCCCTGGAAAACCCAGTATAACTATGTGGTTATGGAAAGACTACAATCTGGAAAATAAAAAATATCCAAGCACTCACCACCCAGAACAAAATATACTGTACTGTCATTTTTATGTTAAAAATAAAATAAAACAAAGTTGAACTCTCTTTCCTAACCTCCCCAGGCCCGCTCCTTTCCTCCATCACTAAAAGCAGCCATTACCTTAAATTTGATGTCGGGCTAGTTCATGTTTGTAACCGTTACAAGACGCACAGCCAGCCCTTGATGTGTATTTTCTAAATAGTACCTCAGTGGTATCACGATGTTTATGTTCTCCAACTTGCCTTTATCCCTCAGCATGTTTCTGAAATCTATCATTATGTCCTTTACTTTTCATACAAAAAGTAGATTTCTGCTGGCTATCTGACAGCTTTTTTCTAATGAGAATACAAAATAAAATTTCTTTTCAAAAAATAACACAAACTAAACTTAGGCATTTCAGAAAAAATCAGCAAGAAAGTATACAGATGGAAATAAGCGAATATGAGAAAACAACTGTGTTTACATATCTTATAAAAATCAATGACATATTTATGTTATTATTTTTGTTACAAATCTTACCTCAGGCTGTCCTATTCCAAGGAGAGAAATAGCAAGTCCGTACACCACTAAGACATAGTTAATCATGGCAAGGTTCAATTGCTGTCAAAAAAAAGTTTCAATTAAAAATCTGAAGATAATTCTGCCCAATTTGCATCATACCAACCTATGAGCCACAACAGAAAAATAAGTGTAATAAAATCTTACTCACCGCTATGATTGAGATATAGGGCAAACTGAATTAGAAAATACATTTTGCAAAAATAGACTGCTATCAAGTATCTAAAACACAGACTCACTGTCTCAGAGTTCCTTGAAGGCGTGGTTCATAATAGATTAGAATAACAGAAGTGACTCTCTTTTGAATGTCCGTGGGTACATTTATTTGCTGCCTTACAAGGCGTGTGTATAAAGTATTTGCCTCACTATCACTTTCTTTCTGAATGAGAACATGTGATTAAAACTGGTCCAAAACCTTGCTTTCATAGATTATCAGAGAGAAGGCAGGAGGCCCAAGGGACACCGACTGGAGAGCAAGGAGGGAGTGGCATGGCGAGCGCAGGCATGCAGGCTGGGTCAGCGCGCACCATGTTCCTCACGCCCTCCCCGCGCGGCAAAGGTCCCTGGTGACGGGGAAGTGAGAGCCCTGGTTCTCCTCCGCCTGCATCTGGAGCCCTCAGCACTGCTGCGGAGTTAGGAGAGGAAATTCTACCTTTACTTTCTGTGGATCGAGGCCGTTGAGCAGCTCCGAGAAGGACTGGGCCGCGCTGCGGCACCGCTGCTCCAGCAGAGCTGTGTACCCGTCCTGGATCAGGCTCCTCAGCATTTTCATTATATTAGCAAAGTCCTGCAAACAGGACAAGAAACAAATTGTTTCCTTTGGGAAGCCACAATTCCAGTGTCAATCGCTACTTTAATCTCTGGTTAACATAACTGAAAAGTTAGTTTGTAAATTAATAAAGTTAGTTACTTAGCAATCACATCTTAACATGTCCACAAATAAAAGTCTAACAAACAAATCTGAGAGATGTACGTGGGTAGACTGGGCTCTCCCGAAAAGCGGTTTGTCCCAGAGTTTGCTTTTTCCGTGGGAAAGCCTTTCTGTACCTGGTGTGCAGCTTTGGAAGATTTAGAGAACTGTTTGTCCAAGAGGTTTTTCAAATCTGCTGGAAAGTTCCCTTGTGAACTACAGCTAAAAGAGAAGAGTGCTGTGTTGAATTATTTAAAATAAAAGTCTGCTAGATAAAAAAAAAAAAAATACTTTTACTGAAGTCATTTTAAACACTGAGTAAATAAGTCACAAGATCCTGAACAGAAATGTAACTATGATGCCATTTCTCCTCAGATTAATCTCTAAATCCAATGAAATCTCAATAAAAACCCCTATAAAATTACAAGTGGAGAGAGACCAGATAAATTAATTGTGATAAGAGAGAAAAAAGAACTTTTGAAAAAAGAAACAAATGAAGGGGACCGTGTGTGTGCTGACTCTCCAGTTATTACCAATCTACAGTTATCTGTGACAACACAGCCCCGAAACAAGCAGTGTGCCCTATAAATGCTGCACAGGTGACCCTCTCCTGGGAAATCTAATAAGAGAGAACCTTTCAGAAAGCCTGGACCCAGTGCTGGTGAGGGGAAGAAAGATCAGTTCTCTACCTGTCTTCTGACACCACTTCTAACACCAGATGGGTGTGTTTTTTTGATACCAGATGCCTATCATTTTTAACACGAATTCTCCACACCAACTGAATGTCTAACAATTCCATTCAATTTTGACATTAATGCTGGAGTCAATGGAGGCCCCACAGATGCCTTCACCTCAGACCATCCTCACCAGGGTGCTAAAGCTACCCACAATTCTGCCGAGCCAATTACAAATTCAGGGTTCCCGTGACCCCAGTTCAGATTAATTCCTTAGAACCGTGGTCGGCAAACTCTGGCTCGCAGGCCACATGCAGCTCTTTGGCCCCTTGAGTGTGGCTCTTCCACAACATACCACGGCCTAGGCAAGTCTATTTTGAAGTGGCGTTAGAAGAAGTTTAAGTTTAAAAAATTTGGCTCACAAAAGAAATTTCAATCGTTGTCCTGTTGATATTTGGCTCTGTTGACTAATGAGTTTGCCGAACACTGCCCTAGCCCAGGGGATGGCAAACAACAGCTTGCGAGCCACATGCACACACACAAGATGGCCACCGTCATGTGATCAAAGATGGCCGCCGTCATGTGATCAAAGATGGCCGCCGTCATGTGATCAAAGATGGCCACCCTCATGTGATCAAAGATGGCCGCCACAAGATGGCCTTCAGGGAAGGGCAGTTGTGGGTGATCAAGCCAGCAGGGGCAGAGGAGTTAGGAGGGACCAGCCCTGCAAGGTAGGGCAGTTGGGGACAATCAGGCCTACAGGGGGAGGACATTTAGGGGGGACCAGGCTGGCAAGGGAGGGCAGTTATGGGCAATCAGGCCGACAAGGGAGCAGTTAGGTGTTGATCAGGCTGGCAGCAGAGTGGTTAGGGGGCAATCAGGCTGGCAGGCAGAAGTGTTAAGGGACAATAAGGCAGGCAGGCAGGTGAGCTGTTGGGAGCTAGCAGTCCTGAATTGTGAGAGGTGGTTCCAACTGCCCATTTAGGCCTGACCTGGGCCTAAACAGGCAGTCGGACATCATTTGAGCGGTACCAGATTGAAGAGGGTGCAGGCTGGGCTAAGGGACAACCCCCACCCCATGCACAAATTTCATGCACCGGGCCTCTAGTAGAATTACATAATATTCTATGCTTTTGCTTTGTATTTACTTTGCAGCAGCATGAAAAAATGGTCTTTAAAAAAAAAAAAAAATTGGGCTTTACTCATTCCTCTTAGTGTTTTGATATTCAAATCATTCTCTTTGAAGAATCTATTGAGGAATCAGCCTTAGGAAATGAAGAAAAAACTGACAACTGATATAATTGGCAGAAATGGATTTGCAGCTTGCCCAGCATCATTTTTCATTAACTTCACAAACTTCTGTATCTAATGTACGACTGACAATTCCACTCTACAGGCAATTCCTATTTTGTAGGCGATGGGGGATAAACTATAAAGATAAGTGGTAAGAGTTCCTACCATTAACTTTAAGGGGCATGTTTGGTAGAATGGATTTTATAAGTGGTTGGTTCTTAATAAATACTTTCCTCCAGTGATAACTGCTCCAAAGGGGCTAAGAATGTACACATACCCATGCCTGTGTGTGCAGAGTGAGCTTCCCAGTGGCCAACAAATGGCTAGCAGTGAGTTCCTATAGGAAGCTACTGGAGAAGTGTGGGAAATGCAGTAAGTTGAACAGGGAAGGCAACTAATTTGTACTTTATACTTCTCTGAATATTTTTTTCCTCTTATGTCCAAGTATTTTGGAGTTTTAAAAAATTAATATTAATATATCTGTAATATGACTTTCAGAAATCAGTATTAACATCCAGGATTCAGAATTCTCTAGTCCATGGTTGGCAAACTATGGCTCATGAGCCACATGCTGCTCTTTGGCCCCTTGAGTGTGGCTCTTACACAAAATACCATGGGCGGGGCAAGTCTATTTTGAAAAAGTGGCATTAAGAAGTTTAAGTTTAAAAAATTTGGCTCTCGCCAAAACCAGTTTGGCTCAGTGGATAAAGCATTGACTGTGGATTGAAAGATCCCGGATTCAATTCTGGTCAAGGGCATGTACCTTGGTTGCGGGCATATCCCCAGTGGGAGGTGTGCAAGAGGCAGCTGATCGATGACTCTCTCTCATCGTTGTTTCTAACTCTCTATCCCTCTCTCTTCCTCTCTGTAAAAAAATCAATAAAAATATATTAAAAAATAAAATAAATAAAAAATTTGGCTCTCAAAAAAAATTTCAATCATTGTACTATTGATATTTGGCTCTGTTGACTAATGAGTTTGATGACCACTGCTCTAGTAAAAAATGATGGTCTCCAAAAGACATACCTTTGGTATTTGAAAAGGACTTGAGTTCTCAATATAATATACATACATAAAGGTAGCTACTACTTGAAAGAGATTTTTTTTTTTTTTTCTTGGAAGGAGGACATTAGGAGAAAAAACCAGTATCTTAGATAAAAACATACCTGAACTCCAACTCATTGTTTCGAGATTTTTGTTTTCCTTTATGCTTTGGAGACTGGCCTGTGAATACAAAAGTATTTGTTCCTGAAATCTGGACATAAAAATCTATGAGCACGAAAGTAAAATAAAAACTAAGTAAATTGCATAAGAGAGCAAAGGAAGTAATATTGTGAGCATTAACTACAAACAGGTAAGCCAAAAAAATAAGCTACTGATGATGTTTGTCTATGTATGCTATGAAATAATTATAAATTACAATGGTCATTATTATGTAGGCCTAGAGCAGACACAGAGAGATAGGCTAAGTTTCTGTTTTCAGGTAGTTTACAATTAGATGAAAAGAAAAGACATTTCTTGCAATAATTGAACAGCAATCCCATTAAGAAGAAAAGGAAATACTGAATTACAGGCCCTGTGCTTCCTGTTGCTCCTCCAGCCCTATGAGCTCAGCCTTGTCCCTGGCAGGAGGAGGGAGCCTTGTGCTGCTGGGCGGGGACAGACATGCAAAGTTGTGCAGAAGAGGGCAGAGCAATGGGGCCGGGGGATCGGATGGGAGCTTTGAGGAGAGATGCAGAGGCAAGTCAGAGCAAACTGCAGCTCCCGAGCCACATGCGGCTCGTTGGCTCGTATAGTTTTTAGCAAAGGCCAGCTTAGGAGTACCCTAATTAAGTTAAGAACAATGTACCTTCTTATATAGTTTAAATTTAAAAAATTTGGCTCTCAAAAAAAAAATTTCAATCGTTGTACTGTTGATATTTGGCTCTGTTGACTAATGAGTTTGCTGACCACTGCCCTAGCCAGTTTGGCTCAGAGGATAAAACATCAGCCTACGGACTGAAGGGTCCCACGTTCGATTCCAGTCAAGGGTACATGCCTGGGTTGCAGGCATGATCCCTACTGAAGGTGAGGGGTGCAGGAGGCAGCCGATCAATGATTCTCTCATCTTTGATGTTTCTATCTCTCTCTCCCTTCCCTTCCTCTCTGAAATCAATAAAAATATGTATTTAGAAAAAAAAACCTTGCCAAATAGAAATTAGATAGCAAGCTACGTAGAGTTTCATCTTTCCTTTCCATCAATTTTAGTTGGAGCTCCAAAATTAGATTAAATAACATAAAAAGACTGAATACTGGTTTCAAATAAATAATCAATGTTTTACCACAGAAGCACTGCAAAGTAAAAGGACAACAAGAGCAGATATAAGTGCAAATTTGGGGGCACAGAAGTTTAGACACCACCACATGGACTCAGCAACGATTTACAGGGAAAAACTCACCTGATGGTGGTGGAAATTCAGGATGACAGTCACAATCATCTATATTCAAAGCTTCATCTACCACCTACCCATGAAAATAAAATTAGTGAGACTTACAAAAGAAAAAAAAGTGAAAAACAGAGACATGAATAGCTAAACAATAAAAGTGGATTATAACAAAATTTATTCAAGTGCCTAAAATAGCCAGCTGGTTATTAAGTTTAAGTGAATAAACAAACAAAATGATAACTGACGATAACAGATTATGGTATGATAAATTCTCCAATGACAATTCCATTTCTGACACCTAGCATGAGGCCAGGCAGGGCAGCTGTTCAGTACTGAGTCAGTACTATCACATCTTTCCTGAGGCTGCTCTCCCTAAACGAACACAGCTTCTCTGAGATTTTCATTATTAACAAAAGAACTATGCTCTGGTCTGGTGTTGCTCAGTGGTTAGAGCATCTGCCTGTGCACTGTAGGGTCATGGGCTTGATTCCCAGTCCAGGGCACGTACTTGGGTCCCAGGTTTGATCTCTGGCCCCAATTGGGGCTTGGTGGGAGGCAACCAATCAATGTGTTTTTCTCACATTGATATTTCTCTCTCTTTCCCCCCTCCCTTACTTCCTCTCTTTCACGCTCTCTAAAATCAATGAAAATAATATCCTCGGAGAGTATTAACAAACAAATATAACTACAAAGTGGGTTTAAAAAGTTCTCTCCAATGACTACTATCCATCAATCCTGCCGGAAGCCTATCACTGTCTCACTAACAGAGAGATGCGGACAGGAAGCCGGGAAGCTGGTCAACAACCTTAATTGCTCTGACCACACTGTTTAGTTGAAAAACTGCCAGCTGAAGCAGCCTCCACCTCTGTTTGTCTTATGTATTTCTGTTACTGGAGTTCCCTGCCTAAGGGCTATGGGTGTATCCCATAGTCACAATAAAAAGGATAGCAAGGCCAGAGCAGTGTGTAGTCCTCCCCCTAGAGGTGGACTCCCACCTGGACCCCAATATTCCCAAATTAATACTTTTCTAATCTCTTTCATTTGTGTGCGGCCTTCTCCAGAACCCAAACCCGAACCCTGAACCGGAACTCTGAACCACGCGGGACGTGAAAGGGGCTCCCACATAACCCAAGACACCATTTTCCTTTTCCCCATCGTACACTGGAGGGAAATGTAAATATGGACTCGGTGATATCTGCTAAGTTTTGAGCACACTACAGTTCAGAAAAAAAACTCAGGTGCAGATTGCCTAGGACCCTGGTGCCAGGACCAGGCCAGAGGCCTAGCAGTGCCTAAGAAGCCATCAGACCAAGGTTCAGCTGAGCACAGCAGAGTCAAGGGCTTTGGCTACGGTGAGGAGCGGCAGAGGCTGCAGAAACACCTTGGGCCGAGATAAAATATTATTTTTATGTAATTATAGGAGGTAGCCCAAATATTTATTTAAAAGGTAGAATCATTCTCTTTATATCAATAGGCAAAAAAAGGTTCATATCAACAAGACATTCAATTTCACCTTTTACCAAAATATTATTGCAAACATGAGACGATACTGGAAATAATTTCATTTTTAGTTTTTAACTGAGCTTACCGTTAGATGCTGATTGCTACCGTATGCCATTTCGTGGTAGCTTTCTTCGGGATCTCTTTCGATCTCTACAAAGTTAAGTGAAGTACTAAACGCAGGTGATGTTAGACTAGGTGTGTAGACTCTGAGTGGGGATAAAAGGAATAATTATTTTATTTCTATTGATTAGTATGCTCTTTTAAAAAAAGTTAACTTTCAAAGAAACAAGTTCCAGCAAATTCAGCCTTTTTTTCCTTGAAAACAAGATTGTTTTAAAAGGATCCGTACTGCCCTAGCTGGTTTGGCTCAATGGATAGAGCGTCAGTCTGCCGACTGAAGGGTCCCAGGTTTCATTCCAGTCAAGGGCACATATCTGGGTTGTAGGCTCAATACCCAGTGGGGGGCATGCGGGAGGCAGCTAATCAATGATTCTCTCATCATTGATGTTTCTCTATCTCCCCCCGGCCCTTCCTCTCTGAAAGCAAATATATATATATAAAAGGATCCCTATCTCCGGGAGTGGGCCTTATACATAAACATTATTTTACATTTCGTATTAAAACCCAAAATATAATTTAAAAAACTTAAAATAGATTAACAGCTCAAGAAGTGTATTCTGGTTCCTAATATTAAAATAAGTCTCCGTGTTAATTTAAATTAACAGCTTCAGTGTCTTAAGCATGTGAGGGAAAGCTTAATCTTTAATTGTTCAGTAACAAATGCAGACCCTGGGTGCTATTGGCTTTACTGCAAGTATACTTGAGTCTATCCGCTGCCTACTAGTATTTTTACAGGAAGCACCTCAGCCTTTGCAAAAAATACCGGGAGTCTCAAGGCAGCTGTTTCCAGAAGAGGCTAAGGGTTAAAAGGCAACGGCTGTGTCCCTGCTCTCCGCTGCCAGAACCATCCAGATGACCAAAATTGGTCCCATTCAAACACAGTAACATCCTATAATCACTCCACTCCTTTCCATAGGCTAAAGCTACTGATCGCTAATACACACATATGCAAATAGTTCAGTAAAAGAGGGGGCAAATACATTTGACAATTCACAGGTCACCTTTTCTTTCCCAGGAACACTTTAAAAACCACCTGTCATCCTCCACCCCCAACCTCACTGTGGTTGCTATTAGCTACTAAAGCATCAAACACAGAGATTCTTAAACTCACAGGGCAAAGCCATTCCTAATAACTTACCTGCTTTCATAAAAGACTCTAACTGGATTCCTAGTTGATGTTCCACCTATAAAAATCAATCACACAGTAAACAGTACATCGATAACACATACTGTAAAAGATTTTCAAATTCAGAAAACTGAAAAGTAAGCCTAACCAATTTTACATTTTGAGATGCTTTAGTGATGAGCTTGTTAAAATGTTCTACAGCCATTATTTGCAATCCCATTGGATGTGATCACTGACTAGATGCAGCACTCTAGAAATGTGAATCAGAGATGGTACCTGTTTCAAGGAGCTCACAATCTTATGATCACGTTATGTTGGATGACATTTGCTCCATAAGACATCAAATACCCAGAGAAGAAAAAACTGGAAAGACCTACACTGAGAGTGTAGAGTAAGGGATTGTAAATTCCTAGCCTGCACAGCAAATTTCTGAGATATATAAAATCAGCCACAAATTTGGTGCAAAAACACCAAAAACAATGCTATTGAAGGGACTTTTCTTCAGGAAATAACTATAATAATAAAAGAGATAATTTTAAAACAATTTTGTTTAAAAAAGGATGTAATTTATTTCAAAATTCAAGAAGGAATATTTTCTATGCAAGAGTATATAATAATTCATTGCTGAATATTTCAAATTAAAATATCAATCATTTATAATTACCTAATGGAATATAACACTAATATAATTCTAGACAGAAATGGAAACTTAAGTGACTCAACCAAGATAACAAAGTAAATTCAAATCACCTGAGCATTGATTTATGGTCCTCCATTAATCCAAGAAGCCCACCCTCAAAAATTTTAAAAGAATTCAACTGAAATGAAAAGAATCTAAGGTGAAATACCTTGCAAATCTTCCATTTGTTTTTGTAACTTAGCATGCTGCTGAATTAGGTCATTGATTCCCTCAGGGTCACTTTTACAGAGCTTTTGAGCTTTAATGTTTGCTTGCAGAGCCCAGTCATATTCTCCCAGCAAAGAAAGAGCAGCACAGTAACGATAATGACCCTGTTCCAAAAAGATGAATTTAATTTTTCTCAAAAATATGTTTAAGTTAAAGGAAATCAATAAGGAAAAATATTTCATTTGCAATCTGATTAGTTACTTAAAGTGTTAATTAGAGTCTACCAATGAAAAATAAATAAAAATGTTAATACCTCTAGGATATAAAATTACTGAAATGAGCTAAGTGAAAGCGATGAACAGTATTCATAATAATGTTTAACAACTGCCTAGGGATCAGCATTTTCACTTAAAGAGATTTTTTTGTACGCCCAAAGAAAAAAATATTACCTATATTATATTTTACTACAGAGTGAAATAATTTTATCCCAAATGAAGTATAAAATTCATTCATATAAATAATTCAAATTGGTTTCACAATACTTCAAGGCAGTAGTAGTCTCTATGCGATTACATTCCTTACAGTTTGGAAACCCATGGAATTTGAGAGCTGGAAGGACAGTCAGCTAGTGCAGCAGCTTTCCCACCTCTGAAGAGGAGCATGGACCCAAGTTAAGCTAAGCTAGCCCTCTATCCATAGCTCTCTTATCAGCTCTTCATTCTTTGTTGGCTTTAAGAAAAAAAGGTCCCAAACCACTGATTTTTCTCTTAATTCTAATGATCAGGTTTTTGCTCTGTTTTGCTTTTGTTACAGAGCCACAGCCCTGGTTGGCCCCACTTATGCATTTTGGGAAATCTTCTGTATCAAGCATGAACATTTTAATCTAGAGAGCTAACATGATCAAACCTGGGCTAATGCAACTCTCTCTCTCTAGCCAGCTACTCACAAACCAAACTCCCATTTTAGGCTCAGCATCTCCCCATGAGCAGTGCCTTCCAAGTGGAAAGGTTAGGAATTTGCCTAATGTCACTCACTCACAGGCCAAAGAACCCTGATCTATTATTCTGGGGCCAGAGCTCTTTCCTCTTTCCGCACACTTTACAAAGACCATTTTGATTCTATGCGATAAAAAAACAAAAACAAAAACCTCAGAGATACAGGCTATAGTATGGTGATTACCAGAAGGAAAGGGAGGTAGGGGAGGCAAAAAGAATAAAGGGGGGTAAACAGTATAGTGATGGGAGGAAACTTGATGGGGAACACACAATATATAATGTGCAGTTGATGTATTAGAGAACTATACACCTGAAACCTATGTAATTTATGGACCAATGCCATCCTAATAAATTCAATACAAAGGAATGTACAAAAAATACTAATTTGGAAAAAAACAAGAAAACTATCCTTTCATTTAATGAAAATACACCTTATGAAGCACAATGGTGGATACATGTCATTATAAATTTGTCCAAACCTATAGAATGTACAACACCAACGCAGTGAACCCCAAGTTAAACTGGACTTTGGGTGATGATGATGTGCCTGTGGAGGTTCATCAATTTCACACTGCACCACTCTATCAGGGGATGCTGGCAATGGAGGAGGGTATATGTGCGTGGGGCAATGGGATTATGGGAAATCTCTGTACCTTCCTTCTATTAATTTTGCTGTGAATCTAAAACTGTTCTAAAAAGAAGAGTAAATATTTTGTTTGATAAACTAAGTCATGAGTAAACATTCTAAATAAGGTACTCAAAGTAATTTTAGAACTTTAGTACTCTTTTTCTAAGTTGAAATAGCAAAAGATATCTCTGGAAAACCAATAGCATGGTCTAGGTTTTAGTATTAAGAATTCTACCATCCATTCATTCTGAAAATATTTATGGAACAGTTGCCAAATGCCAGGTGCAGAGGTCAGCAAAGACTGTTCAAGCACAACAAGGACTTATATTGAAAACAGCAACAAACATCACCCTCAATCCAGTTTTGTCTTTTACTTGCAAAGTCACTATACTTTTCTGAGACTTAATTTCTTTATCTGTAAAATAATGTATTTAGAAAGTGACTCCAAAAGTTGGATGCAGAAGTCCACTTGAGAAATTTCATAATCCCCAGGTTTTACACCCCTAAACAACCTGAATTACAAATTGAAGGCTCTAAAATTCTATGATTCTACTCACTCTGGCTTAAAAACAAATTATGGCACTGGCTGGTGTGGCTCAGTTGGTTTGAGTGTCATCCCATTCACCAAAGGGCATGTACAGGAGCCAACTGATCAATGTTTCTCTCTCTCTCTTTCTCTCTCCCTCTCCATTCCCCTCTCTCTAAAAATCAATGAAAACATATTTTTAAAATAAATCAACAAAAGCATATCCTTGAATGAGGATTAAAAAATAACAACTTAAAAATAATCTACACTAATAAAAGAGTAAGATGCAAATTGACCGTACCTGCGAATCGCCCACCAGCCAATCAGGAGCGAGTATGCAAATTAACCCAACAAAGATGGCGGAGTAATTTGCATGTGCAGGCGTCGAGCGCCCCGCCCCAGCTGCTCTGGGCCTCTGGGCAGTGTGGGAAGGCGGAAAGGCAGTTCCATGCCGGAGCGAAAAGGGGGCTCCGCCAGACCGAAGGCGGTGTCGGAGAGAATAAGGAAGGCCCATTCTTGCACGAATCTTCGTGCATCGGGTCTCTAGTAATAAATAAAAGCAAATTATGAAAAGCCAGAAATGAAGTCTGAAACATGAATCTTTCTGAGTCTTAATGAAACTCTTTTAAAAAATTCAGACTATTTTTATAATTTAGGAAAATATAAATTACTATAACAAACACCAGAATTAACTGTTAACATTTTGTTGTACTGGCTTCAGATTCTTTAATGCTAGAAATAATACTACGCAAATAAGGCTGAACTCTCCTTTGTACCTTTAATCTTTCCTGTCTCTCATTGCCCAGAAGCAAACACTATCATGAGTTTGATAAATATTTTTCTAGAATATTATGCTTTTACTGCTTTGTTCATTCAATATTGTTTTTTAAATCTACTGATAAGCCAGTTAATTCATTTAAGCTGCAATCCAGTGTTCAATTCATTCATTCACTAAGTCAACAAATATTACTCAATGAGTGCCTGTGTCAGGCAGTCCAGATTCAAGAATGAACCAAACAAAAAACCTGTCCTGATGGAGCTCACATCGTACTGGAGACACACACACCATAAGCAACATACTGTAAATAGTGCATACTAGTACAATATGTTTACTAACAATAAATGCCAAGAAGCAAAGTCAAGCAGGGAAAGAGGAGAGCCAACGTCTAGGAAGGGCAGGCTGGCGTGTAGCACTGTGGCCAGGGCAGGTTTCACTGTGAAAAGGACCCGCAGTGAAAACCAAAGGAAGCCAGGGGGCCGTAAGGCCAGCTCATGCTCTGGGGAAGGTACTCTCATTCCAGGCACAGGAAAGAGCAAGTACAAGTGGGGAGTGGGCCTGGCATGTTTAAGGAACTGAAAGGAGAGCAACAGACTAACAAAGAGAGAACGAGGGAGTGAAAAAAGGGGAGAGCAGAAGGTCTGAGGTCAGAGAAATAATGGTTGTTCAAGACGGGGACAGATCTGATAAATCCTAGTAACAAAGTGAAAAACCACAATCATCACTGCTTCATTAATGGACACTTAGATATTTGTGCTTCTGCACCATTAAAACATGGTGCAATGACCAACCTTGGACATCTCACTGTACACCCATAAGCAAGAATGTTTGTTGGGTTCACACTTGGAATCAAGTAATGACTGTGTACGCACATCATAATGCTCTCCAATGTGCTTGTAACCAATTCAACCCACTGGTTTATCTATCGAGGGTTCCGGTTGATATAGACACTCACCAATACTCAAGGCTATTGTCTCATTAATTTTTGCCAATCTGAAGGACCCAAACAGTATCACATTGTTTTATTAACTCATGTACATGTACGTCTGTTTGGAGGCTCTCTATTCTGCTCTTGATTTCGTTTTTCTGTCTCTGTACTATTTTAATGACTGGGAAACAGGGCTTAGTGTTTTTCTATTTCCCATTCAGAATTCTTCTGTGAAATGCTTGTTTATTGGCCTATTTCTACCAAGCTTTTAATTTAGCTCTTTGCATATTCTAGATATAAATCTTATTAATTATATAAATTATATATATGACAAATGATCTTCCAGATTATGATTTCATTCATGGTGTGTTTTGACATACAAGAGTTTTTAAGTTTGATAAAGTCAAATTTATGTTTTCTCTAAGAATTTATGTACAAACACCATCTTCTATAGTTCCTTCTAAGCTTTACGTTTCACTTTTCAATCGGTCTGTAACACATCCAGAGGAATGTTGACAGCTCAATGATTAGTCCCTTCAAGGGCCTCAAGATGCCTACAGGCGACCTGTGCCCTCAGACACCTGCAGCCTCACTGAACCCATTCTCTAACTCTGTAAAACAATCGCCTCCTTTCTGACTATGGAACTGCAAGTTCCTATTTTATCCACATCTTTACATACAAATGTACATCCTGTGATTAGATTTTTTTCCCAAGTTGTATGGCATTATTTGCCCAAGGTAAAATATGAAAGAAGCCTACCTTTGACCAGTTGTTCTTCAGAATAATGGCTCTCTTGCCATCACCAAGTGCATTTCTAAGAAGAAAAACAAGAAATATTCATTTTTATTTTAATATAGCATATATATCATCTTACATTTCTATTTGTACTTTTTGAATTTTCCGTATATAACCTAGCTAAAAGAAGTTTTTTTTAATTTTTAAGCATCCATAAATGTCCATTATAGGAAATTTGGAAAATACAGAAAAGTAAAAGAAAGGGAAAAGGGCATCCAGAGTCACAGTCACAGCTCCTCAGGAATAACTACATTTCTAGGGCATTTCCTGCACACATCTTATCTTCACCTCACTCTATGCTCGACGTGTTACTCGTGTATAGTTCTTTGCACTATTTTTGTGTATTAGCAAGACTCCAGAAATAAACTCCCAGATCTTTCACACAACACCTCTGCTAAGCTACAGCAGACAGAGCCTGGAAGCCCAATCCCTGCGGGCTGTAGAAAGTTAAACGCTCTCCAGCCTGCTTTCTCATCGGAAATGAGACCTGAGGGGAATCACCACTCTGAAAACGAGATTACAAGAACAAAACTAGGTAACATACTACTACATAACAATATCCACTAAAAGGTTATATACTTTTGTTTTTAAGAAAACACTATCTAAAGATAGATGAGCTGATCAACAGAATGGGATATAGCAATCAGAAACAGACCCTTACCTACAGTCACCTGATCTATACAACCAAGGTAACATCACATGACATGGAGAAAAGGTAGTCTTAAGAAACAGTATTATATCAATGGGACATTCACATCATATGACCCCCACCTCACACTAAATATAGAAACCACCTGCAGATGGATTATAAATCTAAATACCAAAATTAAAGTCGTGATTTTAGAAGAAATAGAACATTCTGGTGATTTGTGCTGGCAGAGATTAGAAACAAAACACAAAAATGCTTACCATAAAGGAAATAATTGGCTAACTATATTAAAATTAGTAACTTCTGTTTGTGAAAACATCAAGAGTAAAAAAGGCAAGCCAGAGAGAAAATATCTGTAATTCAAATATGTGACAATGACTCATATCCAAATTTAAAAAAAAACAAAAAAAACCCAACTACTAATAAAGACTTTCAACTCAAAATCCAAACAGGCATTTCATAATGGAGAAAATCCAAGTAGTCAATAAGCAAATGAAAAGATGCTTAACTTAAATATCATTAATCAAATTAAGATCACATCACTAGATCATTACACACCCACCAGAATGTCCAAATGAAATGACACAAAATAATTATTAGTGAAGACATGGAATTGAAACTATCATATGCTGCTGGAGTGTAAAATCACACAACCATATTGAAAATTTTGTACTAAAGCTAAATATAAGGATACCCTGCCCCTAATTATACACTCAACAGAAATGAGTACACATGTTCACAATGACACCACCTATAACACTCAAATACTAGAAACTACTCAAATGCCCATCAACAATAGAATGGATAAAATGCGGTATATTCATGCAATAGATGAACACTTTACAAGTTTACATGCAACAATATGGATCTCAAAACAATGCTGAAAGCCAAACATGAAAGAGCACATACTGTATACATACTATGATTTTTTTTATATTGCACAATAACAGGCAAAAATAACCAATGGTGCTGGAAGTCAGCATAGCAGTTATCTTGCGGGGGAGATGGGTGGTGACTAGGAGCAAGGGGGCTTCTGGGATATTGGGGTGGTGATCTAGTTACGGTTGTTTGATTTCTGCAAATTCAACCTACACACTAATGAACCGTACACTTTTCAGTATGTATTTTTTATTTTTATTTTTGAAGATTACAACAAAGTCATCCTTCTGCTGGAGACTGTACTATCCGGTTTGATGTCTGAATTACAGTAGCTTCTCACATCCTGCGGTGGCAGCCGGAGGTCCAGGTCACACAGTGGGCTGGGAAAAGCCTAGGTCTTTGGTAACACTGTTGAAACTCCTTCTTCTGGAACTCTGAATAAGGTAATTTTTTTTTCACCATTTAAACCAGTTAAATCAGAGTTTTGTTATTTGTAGCCAAAACATCCCAATACAATAGCACACCTTATCTGCTCCTCACTGCCTCTCCTCAAATACCTCCAACAGCTGCCTATGCTGTCTCCATTCCCTCACTCTCATTTTTCAATCTGCTCTAACCCAGCTTCTCTCCAAGCTTCCAACTAACACCTCCCCCCCCCCCCTTTGGGAACTAAACTACGCCCACATTGCTAAATCCAAATTCCAAGCAGCAACAGGCCCTGCTGGCCACACTTACCTCCTTGATGCCACACCGTTTCCCTGCCACCTCTCTGGCAGCAGAGCAGTCTCCTGGCAGGTTCCTCCTCCCCTAACTGGTCTCTACTGTGTGCCCCCAGGATCAGCCCTAGCCCCTCTCCTCTCTCAGCTCATGCTCTCCAGGAGTGGGTCTCAATCTTGGCTACACAGCAGTACTCTCTGGGAGCTTCTAGAAGCCCAACATCCAACTGGTTAAAGCAGAGCCTGGGGGAGGGGGTTATTTCTTCAATAATCAAGAGATTCCAATGTGCAGTCTATGTAAGAGCCCCTTCTATGAGCAATGTCACCCATCTCCACAAGTCCACCGAGATTAACTGTCCCAAACACCTGTCTCCATCCATCCTTTCCAGACACACGTAACTCATGATTGGTACATTCCAACATGGATCCTTCAAAGGCACTTCAACTCAGTATGTTCAAGAGTGAAGTCAAATTTCTCTCTTCCAGAGACCCCCGTGACAGGGAGTGGGCCTATAATCCATGAAGCTGCTGAAGCAGAAACCTCAGAATAGTTCCAAACGCAAAACTATAAGCAACTTGTTTTTACCTCCACAATATTTCAAATCCTCCCTCTTCTGCATTCCCACTGACATTCCCCTCTCTGGGCCACCACTTCCCGCCTGGAGCACCTCAGCAGCCTCCTGCTCATCACGCTGCATCCCCTCCACACACTCGCCCACTGCAGCCAGACTGGCCACTTTAAGGTACTAATCATGCAGCTCCTCTCAGTTCAATCCTTCTCGTAAGCACTGGCAGCTTTAACGTAGCCTACGAGACCCGCCTTGGTCTAGCCTGACCACCTCCCCCCTCCGTCTCTGTATTCAGTTCAGTGGGCGCACCACTAACCCCATGAAAGCAACATGCTCCCTTCCACCACAGGCCTTCACACTGCTGGCCCATTGTCTGACCAGCAGTCGCCAACCTTTTGGACTTCTACCAATTGGCAACAAACCGCTGGTCTAGAACACAGGGATAATGTCTGTTTTGGTTCATTTTTTATCTACTTATAAACTGAACCCAATAATATGTGTTGAATGTTTACTACATTATCCTATATAATAAAAGCAGAATTTGCAAATCGACTGACTGGCCGCTGTGACACTCACCACCAGGAGGCAGATGCTCAATGCAGGAGCTGCCCCGTGGTGGTCAGTGCGCTCCCACAGGGAGAGCACTGTCAGCCAGAAGCCGGGCTCACTGCTGGTGAAGGTAGTGGCAGTGGCGGGAGCATCTCCGGCCTCCGCTGCAAGATGATGGTAACGAGTGAGGGGTCCTGGACTGCGAGGATGTCTGACTGCAGCTTGGACCGGTCCCTGGGGCCTGGCCCCAGGCCTGGTTGAGGAGCCCTCCTCCCCCAGAGCACAAATCTTGTGCACCGGGCCTCTAGCGGTTTCTATTCATTACCAGAGGCCCAGTGCATGAATTCGTGCATGGGTGGGGTCCCTTGGCCTGGCCAGTGATCAGGGCCAATTGAAAAAACTGTTTTCTTTAAAAGCAAATTCAGCAGCTAATAAGTGAAAATAAACAAACCACACAGATAAGAGAATTAAGTCAACAAACCTACACTCGCACTAAACTCCTCCCACACACTAGGATTTTTAAATATCTCAGACCCTGGTGTTCTCCCTTTCCTGGCCTTTTCCTCTCCTCCGCCCCATCAGGCACTTAACCATTAGTTTCCTCTTAGCTTCCTCACTCCCAAGTTCCAAAGGCCCTTCCTTTACCTCTATAACTTTTCATATATATATTTTTAAATCCCCACCAAAAGATATTTTTCTATTGATTTTGAGAGAAAGAGAGAGGGAGAGAAACATCGATGTGAGACACAATGATTAGTTGTCTCCTACACAGGCCCCAACCAGGGCTGGGGAGAAGCCTACAACCAAAGTATGTGCCCTTGACTAGAATTGAACCCAGGACCCTTCAATCTATAGGCCGATGCTCTATCCACTGACTAAACCAACCAGGACTATAACTTGTTTTCTAAGCTCATTTCTTTTAGGAAATACTTTTTCTATCTCTGGGAGTTACCAAATAAATGTTCTCTTACCAAAAAAGAAAAAAATCTCAGAACGTACAACTGAGTTGATTTATACCTCTGGCCTCAGAGAAATTCAGATGGGAGAGCACAGTCATTTAAACTCTATCTGCCCACTATTTCACAAGCTGAGTTCTAATTAATAGATTTATGTTATATGATGAGAAACTAAACTGAAAATTTCGAATTACTTCAGTTACAACTATCATTCTAAAACGCCCTTTAACTACCAAACTGTATTGGAAATGTTAACTTCCAGACCAGAATAAAAGGCATGCCATCCAAGCCCGGGGTCCTGGGACACACAGCACACCTCCCTCTGGCTACAGGACTCGGCAGAGACAAGCTGTGACAGGAAGCAGGCATCTTCACCGCTCCGTCCCCACTCCAGGCCCGTTCCCCACATTCCCAGTGCCATCTCCTGCGCCTGGCCCCCACGTGGCGGTAACTTACACACGGTGCCACTGGCAGCGACACCACCACTGCCTCCGCCATTTGGACCCTTTCAGAATGACCCATTTCCCACACTTGCCTCACCTCGGGTTCCCTGCCCTTGGTCTTCCTTATATTTCTCTCCTTTCAAGATTATTTTTCACTTGTTTCATCCTTAATGCTCAGTGATCACTGTTGTTTTATTCATCTGAACATGTACATTTTTAATTACACTGTATTGCTTTTCAGCAAGTATTTCAAGTCAATTAAAAGCAAATAACATGAACATAATGCACACCACCTACCAGGTTAGCAAAATCTTAACGTTTTGCCGTGTTTGCTTCAGATCTCTCGGCAAAAGCCTGTCACAGTGGACGTCCTGGGTACCTCCCTCCCATTGCCAACCTTGTTCCCTCCCTCGCTTCCTCCCTTCCTCCCATGAGACAGCCACATGCATTTAAAAACATTTTAACACATAATAATTATGGAGATGCATATCATTTTGCATGTTTTTAAACAAAATATAAACGGTATGAGACCATTAAAATCATTTCTGCAACTTGCGTTTTCACTCAGCATTGTATTCATTTTACTAATTGCATAGATTTCCATTGTATGAATATACCATATACCATAATTGATGTATCCATTCCCCTACTGATGGACATTTAGGCCGTTTCCATTCTTTACATTGACAAACAATGCTACAGTGACGCTTGGCACAGCTCTTCTTGGGCACACGTCTGTGAGTTTGGCGAGGGCCGTGGAGGGCGCATGTTCTTCAGCTTGCCAAACTGCTCTCCAACGCGGTGGCACCAATTTACACTTTCTCCAGCGGGTATGCAAGTTCCCTTCATTCCACATCCTCTCAAACACTGGGTATAATGAGCGTTTTACATTTTTGCCAATCTGACGGGTGTGAAAAAAAGACTCGTAGTTTTTAGCCTGCATGTCCTGTAAAGATGATCGCATTCACTGACTATTTGGACCATTTATTTAATTTTCCTCACCTTTCACACTGCCCTTTGGTTCTGTCACCACTTCTCTGTGGTGACTACTAGACTCTACGTCCAGGCTGCCTGGATTCACACTCTGGCTTCATCACATCCCCTAGTGTCCCAGGACACTGTTCCACCTCCCCAGCTCCCCCATCAGCAAAGACAGCAGCACCCTCTCACAGGCATGCACATGCTGTGAGTTAACGGGTTTAAAGTGCTCAGAACAGTGCCCGAGGGGGGATGCTTCACCCTCACCTGTCCCTGGAGTTGCTCAGCCAAATTCCCACAACAGATCTACCAACCCCAACACATGTGAGCTTCAAAACATCTCAACCTCGGTAACTTAGCTACAGGACAGGTGTCCTATGTCAACGGCACTTCTGGCAACATGTTCTTTTCTGAAGCCATATCATCTACTTCTTGATCAGAAAACATCATGCCTACTTTACTGAGCCCGGCGCATCAAGAATGTGCGAGGTGAGGACCACCACCAAGACCAGTGTGGCACGAGCATTCTGCCATTAAAGAGGCATCCGATGCATTTTGGTGATTAAGAAAATGCGGCTGACCTGCTTCCAGCGAAAACCTCAATGGTGCTGAACCACAAGCTAGATTATCAGGAAGGAGCACGGGTCAGATGCACAAGCATGCTCTTGGCCTTGACCTCACCAGGCTACCTGGCTTCTGTAATTGTACTCCGATCATCTCCTTTGCAGTGGAGTCTCAGAGAATCCTCCCTGAGTGTCTAGCACTCAGCACTCATGAAGAGGGCAGAGTCCCCTGGTCTGCCTCTCAGCTCTCAGTGCTCCCCCATGCAGAGGGAATGACCTTCTACCCATTCAAGGTTTCAGATCGGCCACCTCCATTTTCACAGGTGGCTAGCCACACTGCCAACCTATTCGCGTTGAAAACATTTAGATTCACCTTCAAACAGCATAAGATATCTGCAATTCTGGACATAGCCAGAGGCAATAACCTAAAGACATTTGCAGCTCATTCCTTGTCTGAACAGTTGAGGACAGTGGTAGTGATGGAAGACTGTGTCAAGCCCATCCATTCCTCTAGTCTAGATAGCCTTGGCTTATCCAAAGCTTAAGACATCTAAAAGCTGCATAACAAAATACAGCGATATTCTCCAAGGTGGTTGGGTTACTGGTGATTTTTATTTTCTTCTTTTTAAACTCTTGTATTTTCCAAATTTTCTACCATGAGAATGTTTTCTGTTTATGACAAAAGAAAAACATGTTATTTTTAAAGCTACAAACTTGGAATATACTTCTTCCCACTCCCCACCCTCCCACATCCCAACATAAGGGCTTTCACTGAGAAACAACTGACATTGACTCTGCTTTCTTGAGAAAAAGTAACAGAAACTGTGAAACCCCAGACAGCACTTTCCAGGAGACTTTTCGATGAACAGAATATTGCTGCAGTTCTCCTCTATTCCATTGCTCAACTCGTAGCACCCCGTAAGCAACAAACTCCAGGAAAACACTGCTTCACCTAAGCAACCAGGGCCCTCTTTCTTCATAGACAGAGAGAATTCCATCACTTGTCAAATGTTCTTATTTTAACCTTTCTGTTGGAAGGTCAGACACAAATAATAAGCAGGACCTCCTGCCTATACCACTTTATTATGAGGATCCTAGGCTCTATAACCTGGTTCTTCAGTATGTTTTGTTTTTGTTATTCTACTACTGAATGAATGTATTCATTTTTAAAAATATTTTTTTATTTATTTAAGAGAGGAAAGGAAAAGGAAGGAGATACAGAAACATCAATGATGAGAGAATCATTGATTGGCTGCCTTCTGCACACTCCCTAGTGGGCATCAAGCCCATAACCTGGACATGTACCCTGACCAGGAATCAAATCACTGAGCACGCTGGCCAGGCTGAGTGACGGTATTCTTGAAGATCACCTAAACCCTTCCTGTAAGGCAGGACATAATTAAATGAAACCGCTTACCCTGCTCAATAGTAATGCTGATAATTTATGTCCTGGTTTTATAAACCGAGAAACAACAAAATCATAGCATAGTGTCAACAATCTTTCTCAATAAATAAAAGCTAAGTTCAACATTAGGAACTAAAAATTCATTGTATTTCACTCTCATAGTTAAACCACTGAATTTATTTTCCTTTTCACTTATGAAGGACATTTACTGAATCATGTTATTAGCAGGATGGAGAAAACAAGCACAACTTCCTCCAGAACTTTCTAGATTAATTCATAGAGCAAAAGGAGGTAATTTAACGTGTTATAAACACAGACTTTTATATCATCAGATAAGATCTGTGTTTAAATCTGGGCATTACTACTTACTAATAGTATGAGTTTGTTCAAATATAAATGTGGAGAATAACATTACCTACCTATTTAGAGTATTGTGAGAATTAAATAACATAAGTAAAGTACAATACTTCAAATAATGTATAACATGTCACCCACTCAATCAGAATAATTACTGCTGTTACTGTGGTTGTTATATAGATAGCTTACAAAGCTCTCTTTTAATCATTTAACTATTTCTGCCAAGGAACTACTGAACAATTTTCTTGCATGCCTGCAAAACAGAAATGGGCATATAGCATAATAGTTAGGGAACAACACTAACCAACTTACCTGAACTGTCCCGTGCGAATAAAACAAAGAGCTCGATTACCATAAAGATGGTGGTTTTCAGGACTTAAAAAAAAAAATAATGTACAGTCAGTAAAGGAAATTACATGTGAAACAAAAATCATACAGAAAACCTAAAGCACGAAAACTTTTTCAAAAACTTTATGTCTGTGGCAGAGCAGAAAAAATATAGGATTTGAAGTCCCAACTGACTAAATCCTGGTTCCTTCATTTCCCTACCTGAGTAACTGAGTAACACCATCCTCAACTTCCCTGTATGAGGTAGGTCTACCTCATACAGCTGTTGTGAGGATTACAGGACACATTAACAAGCTAAAACTACAAGTATGCTGTAACTGTGCAGGACAGAATTACATATCTAAGTCAGGACTAAACACATTGACAAAGAACTCAAAAAAAAAGTCTGTAAATTAACAGTAGCTTAATAGCTTCCCTTCAGATTCTGCCCTCTGTATCTTATCTGATCACATGTGGTGAAGCCTCATTCCCTTTCCTCTACCTTCTCGGGACTGAGCAGCAGCCTCCCAGTGTGCCGTGCTACCTCGATCCACTCGTTCCCCGTGGAGACTGCAGCACATCCTCCCAGCGCTGCTACAATATCAGGTGGACCAGCTACGATGCCAAGGGAGGCACACTTGCAAAAATGCTACCAAATCCTAGCAGCTGAGCAAATGGAAGACAAGGCGGAGAGAACGCATGCACTCCCAACAATCCCAACTATTATCCCTTCAAAGTTCCCTCTTAGAAAGCAAAAATCCTTCATAAGTGACATCTTAAGAACTAGTAAGTAACCCTTTGTGATTAATAATTTGAGAGAAATTAGTTGAAGGCAAAATGAAAATAAGGAAGAACATGAGTCTGTCTAGACCAGTGGTTCTCAACCTTTCTAATGCCATGACCCTTTAATACAGCTCCTCCAACCATAACACTATTTTTGTTGCTACTTCATAATTTAATTTTGCTGTTATGAATTGTAATGTAAATATCTGTGTCGTGAACCAGAGGTTGAGAACCACTGGTCTAGACAACTTCAAAGAAAACAGAGCTGGGCAGAATGGAATTCACCAGTTTGTAAGACTTGCCTGAGTTATACTCTCCGATTAATACATACACTCAGACCACCTCTAATGCTTCCAGTGCCTGCATGAGAAACTCCATTCTGCATAGCAAGCTGAAGACAGTGTCCAGCTCCTCCTCTTTTACTTCCTGACTACATTCTAAGTTGATCTGCCACATAAAAAGGATTTCACTGGTCTGTTTAGTTCTTACCTGTATTCAATGGCTCTGCTGTAATAGAGAATAGCTAGATCAAATCTTTCTTTGGAAAACTCTTCATTTCCTTTCATTTTCATTAGTTCTCCTTGCTGAAAAACCAAGGTGAAAGAAAACCCATCAGTTAATTGCACGACAATTAAGAATCCCTTACCTAGGAAAAATGAACCTATGTTTCTATCTTTGCTATCAAAAATAACCCGGGGGGGTCACTTATGTAGAAAATGATGATGCAACATTTAATATTTTGGTACGTGTATGTAAAGAAACCTGTCTCTAAGGACTTAGCGCTAACTCTGTTAAAGGAAACTAAAAAGTGAACAAAACCATTACATCACAGGTGACTGCTAACCACCAATTCCCTTGTACAGTGCTTGAGGGCCCATGTTTACAAGTACTCAGTAAGCCTGCTGCGTGACAGGGAAAAACATGCCAGGTAGAACTTTAATTTTAGGCTAGAAAATGTGATATTGTTCAATAAACCTGGGTGCTTACAAAACAATATGTAATTCATTAACACATATAGGCAATGCTGATTATATTAATTGCCAGAAAAGAGGCAACAAAGTCAGGAAGAATGACATTAAAAGGTTATCAAAGATGGTCCAGATATGACTAAAACTTACTTTAAACACTCAAATCTTCAAAATAAATTCACTGAAATAAACTGGATCACATCAATGACTTTAGATAATTAACTAGAACATTAAATATGCTTCTAAGTCCTTTTTTAAAAATTTCATTAAAATCTTTCTTATGAGTAATTCTGTATGGCATGTAATTACATCTCAATAATGCTGTTAACAAAGAAAATCGTATTTACTCAACTAATTAAAACTTTTTTAATTAAAAAAATCAAATTTTAATATTTTATTAACTCTTTTAAAAACCTGTAACACTAGAAAATTCTCATCAAGATGCTATTTTTCTCTTCCAAAAAAAATAAGTATTCCAGTCAAAATTTATTAAAATTTCCCTCAAACATGTTGATTTTTATAGTATTATGTAGCAGTTCTACTGAACTTTCTGAGTGTTAATAAAAGGTGTAACAAGAAAATCTTGAAATATACTTGCAAGTAAATATTTTTTCTTACCTGTATACACTCCAAACAAGTTTGTCTTTCAAATTCTTCAAGTATATTGCAGTTTTCTGTTACAACTTTAGTTATGTGGTACTTGTCTATTTTTTATTTTTTAGGAGAGAGAGGACATTTATTTTTTTAAAATGGTACTGTTAATGTTCTAATTCTTAGGTTAGTGAATCTATAAAGTTCATTATATTGTACTTATAAATAACATATTTGTTGTAATCTTTTACATGTATCAAATAGTATATTTAAAAAAAACTAATAACATTAGATTCATTAATGCTATGAATTTAATCAGTTACATTTCTAGCATTAAGAAAATACTTATTTATTATTATATCAGTTCTAACTATAATTACAACAAATGCTCCATCATAATATATTCCAAATGGGCTTCATAAACACTCAAGTCAATTCAACAAATATATCTGAACTCCTGTAGTATACCTAACACAATTTCAATAAAAATGAGAAAATCCTGTAAAACCGCTTTCTAAATTAATAATAAATGAAAAGTTTAAGTGTCTTAATTCAACATTTGACTCTCCTGAATGAAATGTTAAAATTAGACTTTATTTGAAAGACTATTCTTATATAAATTTAATAAAATAATAAAAATGCTGTAATAACCAAAATTTACATTAAAAGTTTACAAGGCTTCATTTTCTGTATTTTAAGCTGTTCTATAAAAAGATTTTTTAAGGTGTTAAATAATAATTTTATTACAACAAAAATGTAGTTACCCCTCTAGACAAACATTCATTCCAATGGCAAAAATAGTACTTAAAATGTAAGATTCAAGAAAGGATTTGGGTAAGTCACCAAATAAAGTAAAGTAATGCTAAGGGTCAGACTGAGATTACAGAATGAAAACCTGGGCTTTAAGATTTAAGAGACCCAACTTCTCATCTAGGTTCCACTACTTACTAGACTACAGAAATACCACTTAACCTCTCAAAGTCTTAGTTTGCTAATTTCTAAAATAGGGATAATAGCTACCTTCAGAAGAAGAGAGAACAGAGACTAAGAGTCAAAAGTGAGCCAACATGGGTGCCCAGTACATGATACTGGCCCTCTATTTCTACCATAAAATCTAGACAAGAACTAAAGGCCTTCAGAACAGAGAGACCCACCTTAATATAGGCCAGTGCCTGCTAAACCTATCAGAAGACCTGTCTCCATGTTCAAGCTTGATCTTCTCTAGCATTTAGATCAATTGTACAAAATTTGTCCTCACTAGAGGTGGCCAATTCTTATCATCTACTGAAGAGCCAAATATTCCTTGTTTTAAGATTCCTATAGCTGTACTATAAAAATATTCAAATGCTTTAGAGAAAAGTATTCTACAAAGTAAAAAAATAAATATAAAGCAGTTTCATTATACATAATAACAGATTCATCAGGGATATGAAAATTATAATCTTAGCTCTTATTTCTCTTACCAGTGAGAATACAAGGTGTACCAGTTAATAATGCGGATTTTCTCCAATAGATGGAGTTACACATATGTTGATATAGATGCGATTTGTTATGTATGCTATTTTGTTGTACTGACAGCAAGCTTCAAAACTTCATATGTCAAATTTGCTGAAGGTGTTAACATCTTAGATATGTTTAAACTTAAAAATGTCAAATTTCATGCCAAAAAAAAGAGCATTTGTGGGAAGTTTTAATTCATTACTTTATTTTGAAGAAAAAGTTATCGTATACTTTGGGAGCTTATGGTAAACATCCTCCATCTCAAGATACTGTGAACGCTGCTTTAAATGCTTTAAAGTGATGATTTCTATGCGAAAGACAAAAAACGTCCAGGTCAACAGAAAAAGTTTGAAGATCAACAATTGCAAGCATTGTTGGATGAAGATGCATGTCAAACTCAAAAACAACTTGCAGAAAGATTCAACGTTGTTTAGCAAACAATTTCCGATCGTTTACAAGCAACGGAAAAGATTTTAAAGGAAGGAAAATGGGTGCCACATCAACTGAATGAAAGACAAATGGAAAACCGAAATGTCTTCAGTAAAATGTTGCTTCAACGGCACAAAAGAAAGTCCTTTTTTGCGTTGAATTGTGACTGGAGATGAAAAGTGGATTTATTTTTCAGAATCCCAAATACACAAAATCATGGATTAATCCAGGTCAACCATCAACATCGACTGCAAGGCCAAATTGCTTCAGAAAGAAGACAATGCTCTGCATTGGTGGGATCAGGACGGTGTATGTACCCTGTTACCCCAAAAATAAGACAGTGTCTTATATTAATTTTTTCTCCCAAAGTTGCGCTAGGTCTTATTTTCAGGGGATGTCTTATCTTTCCATGCGCTAGGTCTTATTTTTGGAGGATGTCTTATTTTTAGGGAAACGCGGTATTATGAGCTTCTAAAACCAGGTGAAACCGTTAATACTGATCGCTACCAACAATAAATAAACAATTCGAACCATGCTTTGTTCGTGAAATGACCAGAATGTGCCAGAACACATGGCAAAGTAATTTTGCTTCATGATAATGTACCATCACACACTTCAAAACCAATTAAAGACACATTGAAAGACCTTGCCTGGGAAGTATTAACCCACCCTCTGTATTCACCAGACCTTGCTCTTTCAGATTACCACTTTTTCGGATTGGGGGCATACGCACTTTCTGAGCAGCACTTCAAAACGTACAAAGAAGTGGAAAATTGGGTCTCTAAATGGTTTGCCTCAAAACAAGAAAAGCTCTATTGGGACGGTATCTATAAATTGAGGGAAATGTGTAGCTAACGATGAGGGAAATGTGTAGCTAATGATGGACATTACTTTGAATAAAGCACTTTTGATGTTTCTCTTGAAATTCTATGTTTTGATTACAAAAATCCACATTATTAACTGGTACACCTAGTATATGAGCCTCAGTTGTGATCTTTTTCTGAGTATTATATATAACTAGGGGCCCCATGCACAAATTCGTGCAAGGGGCTTGGCCTTTGCAGCCCCAGCTGCCTCGAGGCTCCACCCACAGATCATTCTGGAAGGTCATTCTGGAGGGTTGTTCTGCCTTCTGGTCTAATGAGCATATTAGCTCTTTATTATATAGGATAACTTGAGTATTATATAGATAACTATGGCATCTATTGGACAAAAAATTTTTAAAGTATTAGTGTTTGAGCATCAACCCATGAACTAAAAGGTCACCAGTTTTATTCTGGTCAGGGCGCATGCCAGGGTTGCAGGCTTGATCGTCAGCAGGAGGCAAGCAGGAGGCAGCCAACCGATGTCTCTCACATCAATGATTCTATCCCTCTCCCTGCCTCTCTAAAATAAATAAAAACATGTTTTTTAAAATTCAATAAAATATATCATAAAAATCATTAAGATAGAAAATACAGATTGAAACTAACTACACGGTTAAAGTTCTTTTATGCAGGCTTTTCCCTTACTCAGAGAAAAAACATTTTTTTAAATCCTAAGAAAAATACACATTTCATTAAAAACTGAGTCAAATAATAATCTAAAGCATTTATACTTACATTCAGTAAAGAAAATACTTAACATAGGCCAACAATTTTCAACTGCTCCTAATTTAGATAGAATTGCTCCATCGCCTGTGTATTTCACCCAATTCAAAGCTTCTTCCATTGCCAATATATTCTGTTTCAAAAAGAGGGATATAGAATGTGATTTCACTATTAATTCTAAATTCACATTGGCATTATATATTTATCTTATATAGTATTTCAGATTCTTAATATAAAACTTTTAACCTCACATTTTCATTAACCTAGAACAGAACTTAGAATAACTGGACCCCAACATACAAGTTAACAGACACCATGGACTGGTGAATGTTACATTTCAGGCCACCTTGGACTACCCTCAGAGCTCAAGATGCTCTGCAATGATTAGAGACCTGACAGATGAAGTCTACAGCCCAGCCTGAGACGCCCTGGGTAGCAGAAGAGTGTAATAATACAAGATGAACCTGGCATCTCAGAGCTCATCTAAATTAGAACTTCCATCCTTGTCTCAAGGTTAAAGGTATAGATTAAGGTTCACCAAAGGGATATGGTTTTTAAATGCTCTGTGGCAAATAGAAGAATAAGAGGTAAACAAGAGGGTGTAGCTGGGCAAATGAGCACGGAATGCAATGACCTTCACAGAACTTTTAATCGTACTTGTGTCTGAAATAACTTCAGAAATTAAACAGTGGAGTTATCAGTGCAGGTGCTAGGCTTAAGAGAAACGTGTAAAAGCTTATGTTACCAATAGCATTAAAAATGGTTTATCATTGTATGTGACAATTATCTAGTAATTATATAGCAAAACATGTTCATTCATACCAAGGACCTAATCGTTTCGTTTGGGAGAACATATGCCAGGTAAATAATCTATTGGGGGAAAAAGAATCAACTTGTAAAAGAGGTTCAAAATTATACTAGGCATAATTTTGGGGGGAAATGAAAATTATGTAAACAGCATAGAATAAGGAGAGTGCTTAAACAAAACATAGAAATTAAAACTAGCAAACACTACACATAAAATGTTGACTATGGAGACCCAGACGTGGGCAACAAGCAGCAAGACAACTGCCATGGACTCAAGTGCTTATGCTGGGTTCCCGTGTTTAACACTTACATTTTCTATTTTATAGCCAATTCTCAGTAAGCCTCCAATAAAGAAGGAATTGTTCTGCAAGAAAAGAGCACAAAACACATTTTTCATCTTTATTCGGCCAATTATGCATGGATTTTCCAGTGAACAACAAAATCCTACATTTTAGGAATATGTAGTAGTCCAATTTCCACAAGCACTTTCATGCTCAATTTACCGCTGAAGGACCCTAAAACAAGAATTCAGAAATAGTCCCATCTTGGGATCTAATGATAAAAAGATTTAGTGTCACTTCTAGATATATGAGTTTTAAAGTTAATGACACCTGTATTTTTTATAAAAATACATTGGGCTGATATAAGTTACTGCAAAGGATTATCAACAGAGAATAAACAGCAAATGCCCTTTCTAAATTTGTTTGCAATCAGAATAATACCAAGAAAAACACTTAGTTAATACTTTCAACAATAAAGAATTTTTAAAAACCCTAGATGGCTCCTCAATCAACTAAAATAAGAAAAATTATTCAATGGCTCTCAATGAAAAACCCTTCAGTGCAGCACAAGGACACTTGCTCAAATCTGACATAATATTACCCAAACAGAAAAATATTGGTGGCAGTGGTCGTGGCAGTGGCGTAATTCTAAGTTAGAAAACGGAACCCCTCACTTTCAGAACCTGGGACAAAAGTTTCTGTGAATCAAGAGAAAACTGTCATTTGTGACAAATTCCAACTTCTATCCTTAGTGACAGAAAGTCTTGGTTCTCAATATGTCCTGTCAGAACCACAACAGCAGCCGTCTGCCTGATCTCTCCCACACACATCACTGGCTCAGGGAAGGCAGCACCAGCTCAGGTTAATCAGGACTGAAGCCCCCAACCATTATAAATTAGTCACGTAGTCTGACACCATATACTTATAATCTTTAACAAGAGGACAACAAAGCCATATTCTACCACTTACCATAACTTTCTTCGCCAAATCCACAATATCTTCCATCAACTCTAGATGTTGCAATTCCTTCAAACTTATCTCAGAAGCATGAAAACTACTTTAAGAATAAATTTTTTTTAAATTAGGTTCTTGTGTATAAGAAGTTATTAAACTTTACACTTTACTGCATATTACTCCTTTAAGTTCTGTTCCTTCGTTCTAAGTAACAATAAGTTTAACGGATAATATATTATACCTTTTCTTTTCTTGTATACAATGCTGATATCTATTTTAAAAATCATATTAATTTTCCTTACACAGTTTCAAATTTATCATCTAATGCTCTTCAGAATTTCATTCATTATATATAACTAGAGGTTCAGTGCATGAAATTTGTGTGTGTGGGGGGGGGTGTCCCTCAACCCAGCCTGCACTCTCTCCAGTCTGGGACCCCTTGAGGGATGTCCAACTGCCTGTTTAGGCCTGATCCCGGTAGAATTGGGCCTAAACAGGCAGTTGGACATTCTTCTCACAATCCAGGCCTGCTGGATCCTAACTGCTCACCTGCCTGCCCATCCTGATTGCCCCTAACTGCTTCTGCTTGCCAGATGATCACTCCCTAACCACTCCCCAGGCATCCTGATTGATGCCTAACTGCTCCCCTGCCAGCCTGATTGCCCTCCCCTGCAGGCCTGGTCACCCCTAACTGCCCTCCCTTGAAGGCCTGGTCACCCCTTATTGCCCTCCCCTACAGGCCTAGTCCCTCCCAACTGCCCTCCCCTACAGGCCTAGTTCCACCCAAATCCTCTCCCCTGCAAGCCTGGGTCCCCCCGCCCCCCCAAAAAAAATGCCCTCCCCTGCAGGCCCCATCACCCAAACTTCCCTTCTCTGCTGGCCTGGTCACCCCTAACTGCCCATTCTTGCAGGCCTGGTCCCTCCCAACTGTCCTCCCCTGCTGACCATCTGGAAGTGGCTATCTTGTGTCCACATGGGGGCAGCCATATTGTGTATTGGAGTGATGGCCAATTTGCATATTACTCTTTTATTAGATAGAATGTTATCATGATTATTCATTCACATCCAAATCCCAAGTACCAACTTTTCCCACTCTACTAAACAAGAATACAGCTGAACAAGTATATAAGCATGAGACCTATCCTTCCACTGTACTTGGCATTCCTCAGTACTGGGCATGTGTTTACCACTGTTTATACAAAATGAATAACGTAGTAACTTACTTGGCCTCCACACAGGGATACAGCCGTGATATTATGGAACTGTGTTGATGTTGAAACAGAAGTGGCCAGAAGATGTGAATTTTAATGGCATCACAGTAATCTCGCAGGACAGAAACTGGTTTAGTACACCACATATTGCAGATGTCGAATTCTTAATTTAAAAATTGTTTAAATTAATATTTAGTGCCTTGTTTTAGAATCAATCACAGTGTTAATAGGAAAAAGCAAAAACAGATTATGGGAAAGTAAGAAATGAATGGATAAAATATTTCAACCTGTTAGATATTAAGAATATTCAAGTGAGCTAAAACTCTCTTTTAAAAAAGGTTTTGGCTTCTAGTGAAATAGAATACTAATAAGAATTTATCTTTAGCCCTAGTTGGTTTGACTCAGTGGATAGAACATCAGCCTGAGGATTGAAGGGTCCCAGGTTTGGTTCCAGTCAAAAGTACATGCCTGGGTTGTGGGCTCAATCCCCAGTAGGGGGTGTGCAGAAGGCATCCAATCAATGATTCTCATCATTGATGTTTCTCTCTCTCTCTCTCCCTATTCCTTCCTCTCTAAAATCAATTATAAAATAAATAAATAAATAAATAAATAAATAAATGCTCTTGAGCAAAATATGTTACTCTAAAAAAAACACAATTTTAAGAGCTATTTAAGTCTGTTATATTAATGTGAAAGGATGGACTTCATGTTTAACAAATTATAGTTAAAATACCAGTGTACTTACCCAAGTTTCTCTCACTTTCGGCGTGATCTTTATACTGCCTACCCTAAAAAAAACAAAACACACAGACACACACACACACACAGACACAGACACACACACACACACACACACAAAACACAGACAAAAAAACAACAACACATTTGATTGATGTCTGATAAGATGCAAAAGCATGGTTCTTGACTTTTAAAGATTACTAGCACTGAACTAAAAAACGTTCAGTGCACATTTATTTATACTCTTGGAATGCAGCATCTTCAACCAACACGTCGCTAGGCCTTCCCGGTGTCTCCCTGAGAGCTCTGTAGCTCGGGCAGAAGCCCCCTCCCTCACTCATGTCTGACACTGCACCTTCTTGCTGCTGAGGCGCTGCTTTCCTTTTCCTTCTGAAATCACCTCTTCTAAAGCCTGGGTAGCTCTTCGTAAAAACTCATGTAGCACAAAACACCGATACTCAGATAGCTCTAAGTCAAACATCTTTAAGAGGTAAATCCCCAAAATTCTCATCACAAGAAAACAATTGTAACTATGTGTTGATGGATGTTAGCTCGGTGATTTCACATATCTCAAATCATGCAGTACACCTGAAATCATGTTATATGTCAATTATACTCGATTTTTAAAAACCTTATAGTAAATCCTTTAAGAAAACATAATATGAAAAACAAAAAGTTAACTAATCTACTCACCACCACATTACAGTAGAGTTGAGTCACACGAACATAATCATTGGGAATAAATTCAGAAGTATAGACAGTATCGCTCACATACGGGCAATCGTCTAGCCACGCATAATCAGCTGTGGTGCACTCTCCCAGGGCCAAAATGTCCATGGCGCAGCGTCCTAAGGAGATAACACAAACCCAAGTCGGTGACTAAATCCCTCAATATATGAGAGCAGTCTGCCTGGCTTCTAGGACATTTTAGAAAAACACCTGAACTTATGCCCCAAGGAAGTAACTCCAATAAGAAAGAACACTGAGCTCTATGAGAGATTCTTGTCCTTATTCTGCAATTCCTTCCACAACTGTCTTCAGATATCAGTTTAATCTATTTCTTTTCCTCAAATTCCAAGTCACCAACCTCTACTCTGAATTTATCTGCTTACATATCTCCTTCAGAAGGAGGGTAATTATGGGCACCTTATTCATCTTTTATGTGCCGAGCACATGGAAGCCCTCAAACAAGCCATCTTCCCACTGTTGTCCTTTTACACTGTCTACTATTACTGCATCCTGTGAAAATCATCATTTCACAGTCCCACACTGCTACACTCTCACCCTTCTGGCCAGAGCTAACCCCTGACTCCACAGAAAACACTTCATTGCAGCTGCTCAGATTGTCCTATGCATCCCTCCATGCGTTTATGTCTTGGGCAAAGGCGCACAGCCAAGTGGTATAGAGAGAGTCTATCAGTCTCTTCATCCCCACAGCCACATCCAGACCTTCCCTCTCCAGAGCTTCCTAACCATCAGTGCTCCAACACTTACAACTACAACAGTCAGCTCTGCTAGATTGCAAAGGTGGGCAAAAACCCTCATGTTAACACCCATGTTTTAAAAATAACTATTTCAATGGGGAAAAGGAAATTAGGACTTTCCTTTTCAAATTAAGGTTTTTTTTTCTCCTGAAGAAAGCTCAGTAAGATTTAAAGCTTTCGAAGAAAAGCTGCACAACCTAAACATCATTGAAAAATGCCACATTTATTACTTCTAACTCTAGCCCAAGTAATGGCTTTCTTTTCCTATCATCAGCGCCATTTTTTACACCTTTCTGCTTCCCCACTATTATCTCACTATTGCTAAAACAAACCAACTTTCTGTTTTCCTAGGCGAGACCACTATCAGGTCTTGAAACACAAATCATTTCTTTAATTCTTCTTATTACGTCCAATTTGCTGTATGAAAAGACCTCACAATCTCAGAAGCGAAGAACAACAATCTTCCTAGCAAACTGTGTACTATTTGTCACGTTATTTCAAGCATGTCACATGCATCCCCTCAATCCTCAAAGCACGTCTTCTGAGTTCCATTACCATCACCCACTGTTCGGATGAGAAACATTCCCGGTGAGATTAAGTAATGTGCTCAAGGTCACCAGACGAGGAAGGATTCAAACCTAGGCCCTCTGATTCCATAGCCTCTCCTCTCAAACACTACACTGTACCACATACACTTCTCCTTGTCATTGCCAGCTAGGTACCTCCTGCTTGTCATGTTTAAGAACACTGACAGAAGTTCAGTGTTCCCCTCTCCTGCAAATTCCATCATACAGACACACCAAGGCCCATGCAGATGACCCTTCAAGACCTCGCCTTGAAGTTTACCTACCTTCTCAGCTAAGATGAACTGCACTGCCCACCTCCCCGAAGCGCCTCCTTCCCAAGGTCACACTCACACTCAGATCACTGCCCAGATCTAACCGGTTTCTAAATCTAACTCTCATTAGCTCCTCTGAGAACCACCAAGAGTCATTACAGCTCGTCTCCCCTTCCAATACAGTCATTAATGACCTTCTACAACAGATTGATTCTATATAATGTCTGGACCCTGACCTATTCTAGGTCAGTGGTCGGCAAACTGCGGTTCACAAGCCTCGGTTTGCCACTCTGTTGACTAATAAGTTTGCTGACCGCTGTGTAAGGCATTACCCTCACCCAGAAGTTTTGACTTCAGGTTAAAGACATTAGTACATTATTAAAATGTTTTTTAAGCCGAAACTAGTTTGGCTCAGTGGATAGAGCATCGGCCTGCGGACTGAAAGGTCCCAGGTTCGATTCCAGTCAGAGGCATGTACCTTGGTTGCAGGCGCATCCCCAGTGGGGGGTGTGCAAGAGGCAGCTGATCGATGATTCTCTCTCATCGATGTTTCTAACTCTCTATCCCTCTCTCTTCCTCTCTGTAAAATATCAATTTTTTTTGTTTTGTTTTTTAAGTGTTTTTCCCTAAGGCAGTGGTTGGCAAACTCATTAGTTGACAGAGCAGTAAACCGAGGCTCTCAAGCTGCATGTGGCTTGCGAGCCACAGTTTGCCGACTGCTGTTCTAGGTCAACAATATTGTGAGTTTAGCATTTAACTCCAAAAATGAACACTGACTTGAAAAAAATAAAAAGACATTTGGCACCCAAAGTGGCCATATAATACGGAACCTACGCTATCCTGGGAAATATATACACTTTAAACTCATTTGTTTTACAAACGTTTTGTGTGTGTAAATACAGAAAGCCAAAACTGTTACGGCCCACATTCACTGTCATGGCATCAATTACAATACAATTAATCGGCTCACATCCGCAGACTGAGCCACTGTGACATCTCAGCCTGCAGATCTCACCAATACCACACCCCACACCAACTATACTGTACTTACACCACTGGTTTAATTTTAATTTTCTATTTTGTTTTAACCAGAAAGGCGATATGGCATAGTTGTTAAGAGCATGGACTCTGGAACCGGACTGCATGGGCCTGAACCCTGGCTCTCCCATTTCCTCAGTGTGATCTTGGGCAAGTAACTTAACCTGTGTTTGTTTCCTCACACATCAAATGCAGATAGTACTACTACCTACCTGATTGACCAGTTAATAAATTGTAAGTGCTTAGAAGAGTATTTCAGCATATAGTGACTGCTATAAATATCAATTTATCAGTAACATTAATACTAGGCGAGTATTTTTTCTTACACATTGTTTGGATGCTTCCACTAAATGGTCTCCCTTAACTGCTAAGTCCAAAGAGCACTTTCCAGCTTACAACTTACTTGGCGCTGTAGACCACCTCCTTTTCAGAACTCTTCATCTGGACTCCAAAGACCTTCTTCTGGTTCTCCTATTCTTCTGGCTGCGCTTCCTCAGTCTCCATGGGCTCTTCTTCTCCATCCCTGCCACCCAAATGCCAACTCTCTTCTCTTTCACACTTACTCTCTCCTTGGGTGAGCTTATCCACCACACCCATGGCTTCACACAGCACTTTCTGAACTTCCATCATTTGCATAGCTTCACCATGATTTTTGCCTTTTCCACATCACATGTATTTTTATTTACTTGATATTTCTTTTATTGGTCTCGCTTGGCCTAATTGATAATATCCATGATGTCATAGGTTTGGTGTACAATGTATGCTTTCATACACATTAAATTCCTAACTATTCAAAAAATTGTGTTTGTTTAGAACCAGTTTCGGTTATCTCATACTACACAACAGCAGAATGCTCAAGACTCTCAAAGCTCTCCAGACTGGGTTGTATCTTATGATTCTAGAACCTGTCAACTGCTACTTGATTTAACTTAAATGTCCCACAAGCCTCTCTCAGATTCAGGAGAAACATCATTTTCCTCAAAAACTAAGGAAACCAAGTTCTTTCCTCTTCATGTATATCATCAGTTAATTGCTCTACATGCCACCTGTTTATCCAGACCAGAAACCTCGGGGTCAATCTAGACTCCCCCGTTTCTTTCAACATTTCTATCCAACTGACCACGAGGTCTTGTCACTACTACTCCCCTAAGAAATCTAAAATTAGCGCACACACACCTCTTCATGCCCAGGGCTGCTGCCAAAATTGTAGCTTCATCTTACTTCTCTGAACTGATTTAGCAAGCAAGTCTCCTAACTGGTGACATGCCTTCCATCTTGGCATCCGGTAAAACTCCGATCATAATACATTCAACAGCTTCTCTTCATCTTCAGAATAAAGTCCAAACTCCCTAATGTTAGCATAGAATGTCTTCTGTGATCCTGTTCCTGCTTTTGTCTCCAGTCACTGCATGGCACTCAACTTACAAGTCAATCATACTCAGCAACTACCTGCATTCCCAAACAAACCTCCTGCTGCCCACTTGAAGCCTACCAGTCCTTATTACTAGATTCCAGGAGGCATTTCCGATCTTCTTGCTCCCACCAAGCTTACTGCTGTACTTCTTCTCTAGAAGCCCGGAGCACCCAGCCCATATCCTTTGAGAGCTGTTTTCACAGTTGGGTCATCACAGATTTATCTCTGTAGGTTCATTCTGGGTCCAGAGGGCAAACTGTCTTACCCATCTTCATTCCCTAGCTCAGTGTTTCCCAAATTTTTATTCACATTCCCCAAGGTAGAAAACTTTGCAAAATCACCTGCCACCTGTACTGATATTTAATATTTTCCTTTAGAATAACTTCAATGTAAACATATTTTAATAGAAAATTTGATATTACCAAGAAATCTTATGTTTGGTATGACAATATTTTTCTAGTACAAACTAAAATATTTGAGTAATATTAAATATTAAAGAATTGACTTCCTGACTATCACTTCCAAAAAAGTGGGCCCTAGATTTTATTATTTTTTAAATTTTTTTTTTCTGAGTTCATAGAAATAGGGAATATTCAAAGCCATCCCTACCCTGAAAAAAACACCCTACAAAACCAACCAAACAAACCCTCTGCTAGAACTAAACCTGGCAGTCAAGAGCTATACATAGTAATGCCAAGAACAGTAGCTGGATCGGGAGTTGGATCAGGACACTGAGCTCTGGACCAGAAACAAAGTGAGGGAACTGAAACGTGGTCCCACCAAAACTCGTTGACTCCAGTCAAAGCTGATATGTAAATCCTATCAGAAGGAAAGCACCCCCCAACCAGATTCTTAAGAGTCCCTGAGAAAGATCAGATAGGAGTTCATAATTGAAGATCACTAAATGCAGAAGGTTACAGTCCACCATGAGGGAACACAATAGAAGAAAAAGAAAAAGAAAAAAAAAGCAACAAATTTAGACCTAAGTATATCAGACATTGGGATTGCCAATATAGTCTATATAGAATGTGAAGGGATTTAAAAAAATTGAACAAGAAACATTAGACCAAAAAA